ACCCCATCAAGTGTAGGTGATTAAATGCATATTTGGCCTGTACATTTCCTTCGGTGGCCTACCGACGTATCAGTTTAGTGTTGTTATATTCTCAGAGATTCCTCTAAGCACTGCTCCCACGCGCCTTCATTAAAGGTCATGTCTTAAAAATGTCTTCATTGGAGGTCATGTTTTAAAAAATCCATGAACTCTGTACTTTAACGACTATTTTAGAGCAAAGGCTACAACTGCTGGTTTTGACACTTTTCTAAAACTCAGGAAACCGGCTATAGGGACTACCGTCTATGTTGCTCAACCACAGTGAGAAGAGGCGGTGATAGTGAGACAGATTACCAGCTGCTACTGTTCTTGTGATTTTTTCAAATCTTTCCTAAGCCCGTCTGCGCAAAATCTTAATGTAGGCATATAATTGACGCCAAGATATTTGGAGCAACGGAACTTTTGTGAAGTTAAACCTTTGATCAAATATTGGTCAAGAGAAATCGTTGTGGTACTATTGAACTATCTGCCCGTGATGTTAATTTTTTCCAGCTTTTTAAAGATGCTTCCCAAAATGAGATCCTTTAATTTACTATTCTTCGACGTAGTGATGGAAAGTTGCTGACAAAAAAGCTTAACGGCATCTCATCCATATTCAGCCGGAAGGGCTTACGTTAGGTTACTATAGATTCGAGGCCGCCAACAGCATTTAATAGATTTAGGTGTTCCTCAGTATTGAAGATTTCTTTCAATGATGATGCTTTCTCGGTCCAATACCTTAGCTGGTCTTCACAGTTTGCTCAATTAGATTTTCCAGTGATTAAATCGTATGTCGGTAGAACACAGCTGCTTGTGATTTCAGTAGCAGAATCCCGCCGAAGTAGTTGATTTAACCTCAGCGCTTATCGTTCTCAGTGCAGTGGTCTCGAAGAGTTTTCGAACCTAGAAGATGTAAAGATATCTATAACTTACAGATTCCACATAGATACTTGTAAGCAATTGGTCGCATTTTCTTCCGTTGTCTGTGTTATTAAAGATGACCTCCAATGCTTTCATAAGCTTTATGATGGCTACCATGCAGATTTTAGGCTATACTCAAACTGATCAGTGTGAACTATATATAAATGCAGCACGGTCGCATATCATTGCCTGGAAATGGTTTCCACAGGCCGATTATATCGTTTGAAAGTAAAACAGCGGTGTAAAGAAGATCATCTTCTTGATAGAGTGAGGGCGTGGACGAGGCACCCGATTCCGATCTGCGCTAGATTCTTTCAACAACCAAAGACGGGCGGCATAACACTACGGCTAATTTTCATGACATGCCGGGTCCTTGTATTTGGCATTTTTATGCAAATTTCTAAATCTCCGCTGTTCGAATGCAAAGATCACTAGAGAAGCAAGCCTCATTATGTTTAGTAGAGAAAGGTCTTTGTTCTTTTTTCGAAGGCGTTTCTCAGCTTTAATAAAATTTTTGCTCAAATACGACCACAATGATGCTGAGATATTTGCAAAACTTTGGACCGCAGGTGTCTGCGGCAGAGGCCGAACTTCGCTATTATTCTTTCCGGGGTGTAACATGTTCGCCACCACACCATGCGCGCCCTTCGTTTCGTCTCCATCTCAGCCGTGTTTTATGGCTGGTCTCAGCAACCACTCGTCAACGGGATTGATCTGGAGAGCGCAAATCGGCATTGGACCCAGTTAAGCACCTATAAGCACCTGTGAAGCACGGATGAGAAAAAGGTGAAACGAAGGACACGCATTTGTGCTCTTTATAGGATTAGTTTATTTTTGTCCTCGTTTCCACTCTAGAATCTTACAGTGAGCTAAAATATAAATGAAATGCAAATCACTGGTAGTGGGTTGGTAAATGTGACGCACCGAATATCTTTACCTGCTTTGTTCCCGTTTTTGTGACATTTCCAATCTGTTCGTTGTCGCAGAAACTGGTGCCAACGGTAGCAGTGGAGAGTTTACAAGACGATTTGCTGATCCAGGAATGGATGCGGGAACTGCGACGCGTGAGGAGAACGCCGACGCGAAGTGAGTTGAATACCTTAGCGCTACTAAAGCATCCATTCATAGCCGGAGATTTTTTCTATCACAGGAATGACCTCTTTTCTCTATCCCTTTCTTTGCCACTTTCCTTTCTTTCGTACAACTACTTCGTTTCCGTTTCGCTATCACTTCTTTCTTCTTCGAACACTGATTAGATTGGTCTTCATTTTGATGTTTTTCTGCTGCAGGTCATTATCATGATTATTGCGCTCTAAGAATGTCAATGCGGAGGAAGCGGCCAGGTGACTGAGATTCAAGCAAATGCATTCAAAAATCTCCATAATTTTGAGATTGTTTTTATCGCTGGCAAAACTTATCAACTTATAACATTTTTCATTTTACCAAAACTTCTCTTCTTTTCAAAGCACCTGCTAAATTCATCCAAAAGACGACCAACAAGGAAGTGCTAATTCTTTCTTCAATCAACTTCACTAGGCGGTAGTACTCCTTGGAAAGCTTGCGTCTGTCTTGCTGCACTTTTTCCACACTTCACGTTTGCTTATGTAATACTTGCTAGATGTAAAATCCATCCAGCGTTTGATGGCTGAGAACTTTTCATTTTCATTCAAGAGTCTAATGCCGGGGTTCTTTGCACTATCGAAATTCCAGCTAATCTACCGCGTAAGAACGATGTCGCTCATAAGTTATATCTAGCCAAATCCATACAAGGGAAACAAAGTAAGAATACAGTGACGCAAATGGATTGACTCAGTTTTTGAAGTCAGGTTTTTCGCAATTTATCAAAAGGTCGATAAATCCCAAGAATTTGACAGCTGTAGATTTCAGTGTGTCTCAACCTCTAAGTTTTAATCGAATTATAGGTAAATAATACCTATCCATCCTATAGTTGCCACTATGCTTGCTTAAACTGCCAGGTTTTTCCACTTGACCCGACCTTAGCCTCTGTGTACTGGATTTGGTTACACCCGAACAATTGTTACCACATCGAGAAGTCACGTAGCTTCGCCACTTGTGGCAATGCGAGACAACATGGCCAGTATGACGAGCCGTCATGCTCGGATTCTCGGCACCAGGGGTGTGAAAGTTACTGCGAAAAAATCTCCAACTGCTTTTCTTTACCGAAAAGAGAATCTTAATGAGCAATGACAAGCGATATATCATGAACTATAAGCTAAATTTCTGCCCAGGTTTTGTGTTCTCCTAGGCAATTGCGATTCTATCAAGCCACTAACTAGTCGGGCTCATCTAGCTCATAATTTTTCGACGGTTATTTAGCGTATCAAGTTGGAACAACAGAACGATCGTTTGTGCGTTTTAAAAAGTTACAACAGATGTCATGCAAACGAAATAATGAAAATAGGAGAATTCCTTAAGACTTATGCATCGTTGTGGACGATAAAGATTATGAAAGTGAACTTGCTTTGACTTTAAGACCGTCAATCGACTATAGTGCTAATGCCGCGCCTCGATATTGGTCGTGCTTCACCGTCCTATCAAGATCCACCTTACCCGGAACCGCTGAAGCGTCGCAGAGCGAAAAGAGCCAGATATTGCCCGATACTAGGTAGAGACTAGGCATTTGTGCTTCACCATCGCATGAAAGCGAGCACTCTTCACCGATCCTCTATGCGACCGACAGTGACAACTCCTTGCACGGCCCTGCTGCCCCAGTAGTGGAATCCGCTTTCAGTCGTAACAATGAGGATCGGACATTTAGAGTGACTCCATACCACTCGATTTCAGCGAGCTTCACTGGCATGCTTCTAATGAACTAAAATCTCGTTGCTTGGGAATTAGGAGAGCATGCGCACAGCTTCAATTATCCAAACAGATTGTAGCAGGCAGACTTACAAGCGATTCTCTGAATCTCTTTGATATTTCGCATTATCGCTTCCACTATTCCTTGTCTAATCTCTGATCACCTTCCTATATTTCTTTCTCTTCTTTCAAGACGTGAAATGTTTCTGTGACATCAGTAATGAGCACATCTGAGTGGTCCGCATCTTGGTTCACGGCACGAGTCAGACGTGTAGAGGTCTCAGAAGTGATGGCCGGCGATTCAGATTACCTGTTCCGCTTAGGAGTCTCCACCGCCACCTCGGGCACCGCCGTGGTGCTCAATGCGAACGGTACGGGCCGATGTGTCATCTCTGCTGATCAAGCGTCGCACTTTTGCGGAATGGACGAAGAAGGCAAGCTCTCTAATCAACAAGTAATAGAGCTTAGCGTGTCGTGCCTTCACTACTAGTTTTTGTTTCGTAGTGGTGACTAATCGTAACGATGTCGTGGTAACTCACCTCTTCATTATTTTAGCTGTGTCGTGAAAGTTCGTTCCCGGCTATCCCGCTCGAGTGTCGAGTGTTACCTTGTTCGTCAGGCTCACCAAGGACGACCAACACTTTTATTTGCAATTTTGTGATGTGGTCGTAGTGGTAGCACAGAGCCATGAATGTGTTTGATAAATAGTGATTCTAGTAGACCGATGAAGACGGCAACGCACGACATCAGAACACATTTGCAGAGCAGATGATGTTTATATTTTGCTATTTTGTTTTCTCGCTAATTTCTGCTTTACATTTCGCTTGCATGACTGACGTTCCGGCACACGCTTTCGGCATCGTCTTCAATACAAGTGCAGCACGTCCATTAATTCAGCAGTACTTCACCGCTTGCCATCATCAATTTCATGGCCTAACAGTTGCTTCGTTTTTTAACCGTACGAATGCAATCATTCCAAATCGGTCAACTAACCAGCTTATCTTACACTGCTGGCACCAAGTCTTTTGCTCAAACCAGTTAAGCATGACTAATCTGTTCGTCGCTTGGCTACTAAACTTAAAGAGTTTGAAAGAATGAAGGAAATTTTTAGTGTCAGCGCCACCAATTCCTCCTCCAGATGCTGGAAAATGTATTATTTCGAGGGTATGTTTACTTTTTGTTCTTTTCGAAATATGGAAATGAAATGTGTCATAGCGAAGTCCTTTGTGTTTCCTCTCATTCTGAAGTACAATGGCATCATTCATAGCATTATCGCGTACACCGTTCTTTATTTCCAGGCGTCTAGACGCGAAATCTGCTACCCTCGATATGAGGAACTCGACACAAGTTGTACCGATGTTACCGATAGGAGTACTTCAGGACTGGTAGCACCGCCAGTGATCCCTCATGCAACGTAAGAACTTCTGACATATTACCAATCGAAGTAAGCGTTAACAGTCAACAGGAAAGTGGTCAATTGACTCTATCGGATCGTGCCTAAGAAGCTGGAAGATGTGTTCACCCTACTGGAATCCGCTTGAATATCATTTTAAAAACTGCTTTTAGAGTTCGAGCGATGGCATTCGTACCGCCGGACAACTTGCGACGTCTCATTGTTCAGTACTATAGACAGCAGGGCAAGCTCATACCGAAAAACATTACCTTTTCGCCCAAGTAAGGGAATTTTAAACCTTCACTTTTTTAAACACAGATATTTTCCTTTTTTGTATACCTTAAAATTTGCTTCCTTTGTGATCACACTTATCTTCGTATCCGTTTTGTTCTCTATGGCAAGTTACACGTAACTTTTCAGAATCTATTTCTCAAGCTATTTAAGAACAAAAGTCTTCATAACAAAGCCTTCCCGACATTTTGGAAAGCATCAAATTGAAATTGAGCTCATTTCGCCTGTAAATCTCATAACGTCTTAAGAAAGCGGAAGAATTTTCCGAAGAGCTTAACCCTACAGTGGAAAGTCCGTAACACTGGAAAGAGCAGAAGTCTAGAACTAAGGTCGCATTCGATTTATTTAGATCGTTTCTATTCGTGAAATACCATTGCGATTTCGGATACGAGATGATCGACGAGGTAGACACGTTATTTTGTCACCAGAAGTCATGGATACACACTGTCCCAGTGTGTCGTGGAAAAGGTTTGCTAACAACGGGATCCTCACCGCTGCAGACCACTAGGGAGCGAAGTCACGTTTTCAGGACTTTGCGAAGTGGACAACGGTGGATGCAGTCACTCATGCTTGTCCATTAACGACGTGACCGTCGAATGTCGTTGTCCACGTGGAATGACACTGGATACCGACCAGAGAACGTGCATTAGTTAGTTATTTATTTAGTTATTTTCTCACTTTAGGAGAAGATAAGTTCCTGTTGGTGGTGCTTATCTGTGCCTCATTCTCTTGTTGGTTTGAACTTGGCGTTCTTAAAACACAGAGGGTTTAATGATTCAAAAAGAACTCAGAATTTTGCCGCACGCTCCGAATTCCAATGAATCACGTTCCTCTGTGGCATCTGGGATTTAAACCGCTTTTGAAAGCACACTGGAGAAACACATGCTCCTTACGGATGCTTTATAACTGTATACGAATTTTTTAAATATTTAAGTATAACTAACACTAGTAAAGTGGACTCTGTTCCCGGGAAACCCTAGGGACACTAGCGTGAGCGTTCGAAATTGTGAGAAAAATTGGACATCTGTTTTCTTTCAGAGCCAATTCCGAAGACCTTGTGCCGTTCATTGTCCGGTTGTTCCTGTTCATCAATCAATGACAACCAATATTCGTGCACGTGTCCGAAGGGAGCGAAATGCTTGTGTAGGATGCTTTTATTTTTCGCTAGAAATTTCGATTCGATAGCTAAGCCCGCGATTTTACAATGTTGGAAATCAATTATCCTGAAACGTTTCAGTGCTTAAAGGACCGCCAAAGCTTTACGTAGAGCCGGTTGGTCCCTATGAAGTATCACCTGGTGGGAATCTCAACATCACCTGCTCTGCTGTCGCCTACCCATTTCCGGATATTTTCTGGCGGAGGTGGTACTTACTAAGTATTATAACTTTTCCTTAGCCGTATAGCTTATTAGATTATGCTGCATCGAGAGTCAATGACTCTGTGATGCCTTTTAGAACCAGATAATGCTGGCCTACTAGCTAAATCGCATTAGAGCAACGATCGTACTATAAAATCATCGCCAAGTAGTGGGCATGGTGCTCATATTTTCCAGGACGAATAGTGCAATCTCTAACAGTCGAAAGAGTTATTCGTTTTGTTTTCGTGTAATTCTGAGATTGCTTTGCCAAGACATTCCCAGAACAGAAATGAACTAGAAAGTATTTGTGCAAAGAAGGAATGTTGAGTAGCGGTCACATTTCATCTTTAAATGTTAAGTAAAAGCATGAAATGCCGATTTAAAAAATCGTCACGATGCACAAGTTCTCGTCGAAGTCTTATGGGTAGGCAGAGAAATTTCAAGAAAACGGAAGCTACCGTATCCTTTTTCTATGATATCATAACCACAATTACAAACTTAAGACTCGTCTAAGGACCAAATCAACCTATGAATTCTCCTTTAGGGTTGAGAATTTCAGAGGCGACGATCGGGTACAAAATATGCCGACAAGGGCAGGCACGGTGAAAAACGAGCAGGTGCTGATTATCAAAGAGTTGTTCAAGAGTGCTGAATTCACTTGTCTGGCTAACAACTCTGAAGGGACCGTCGAACGCACCGTTAAGGTGACAATCACCGGTGAGCTAGTGATCTAAGGTTAAACCCTTGCCGGTCTCTTGTTTAGTTATAAAGCTCAGCATTAGGATGGATTTAATGTAAGGGATTTCTGGAAAACGAAGGAAAGAAGTGAAAGGTGACTTCTTAAAGCCAGATTTGTCATTATCGATTTTAATGCACACGACGTTCTCTTGCCTTCGTACTAAGTTAACACATACCCGATACTCACCCCACCATTGATTCGCATATAGTAAACGAAGTGTGGTTTGATTACTGTCGACGACAAAGCTTTACTTTACTATTAATTTACAGATAGTTCGAGACACTTACTCAGTGTTGGTCTTGGTCTGCGTATCAATTTTAGACCAATGCTTGTATAGACATCTATTTACTATCCTAATTATAATGATCAATACATATTTATCAAAAGTCCGTTTTTAATGAATTACTGTCTAAGGCATTCTGAATTTACTTAATGCGCAGTTCTTTGTTACAGGACCTGGATCGGCACCAGTGTTGCGCGGTGCGCTTTCGGGAAGAACGAACATTGCGCTTCGCTGGGATCCACCGCACATCATCAATCGGCCAATGACTAGCTACACCATCTACTACACCAATAATGGCAATCAACCCATAAAAAACTGGCAGCGCCTAGAAGTCAAAGGTAAGCACTTAAGGAATATTCCTCTGAATGATCCATTATCGCTCCCATCGAAAAATCTTGGTGGTGATACTTCATTCTCTGTTAACTCTGTGTATTTTACCAACAATCCATGGTTAAATTCCGTTTCATTGCCCATATTTTTCCGTGTTTTGCTAACAAAAGCTGATTTTGGCCATACGCCGGCTCAAATGGCGACGAAGGTGGCTTAAAAGTTCTCTTTAGTTCCATTAGCTTCAATTGTTCTCTTTCTTTCTGTCTTCTTTTTTATCCATATGACATCGTATTACCACGTTCACCAAGGATTACTATCTTTTCTCTTCCTATTCTTCTAAGACATTTCTTTCCCTACCTTGATTCCTCTCATCGGTTCACGAACATCCGCAAGATAGCAATATCATTCAGAAATTGTGCACTTCCGTGATGTACTTGTTTCCACTTGTCGTTTCATTGAGTGCAGAAGAATATTCTATAGTTGCGAACGTTTTCCTAAATTCCAAAAATAAAAAGCATACTGTAGGCCCGGCATTCGAAAAACGTCAGCTGTAGCACGCTGACAACAGAATGTTGAAGAAATCCTTTGACTGAAGAAATCGGTTTAGATATAAGTGAACATGCATTGTAAGTACAATTCGTCACCTTAGTCCTTTGCAATTTAGGCAGCTTAGAGTGGCCACGATATTTTAGCAGCCTTTCTGTACTCGTCCTACTCAACGCTATCGTATCCGACTTATGTCGGCCCTTTCATGGTGAAGGACTTAAGACCCACATGTTTGACCTTGTTTAGTGTTTGATATATACGTAAGACTTGCTGAGCATTCAAAGTGGGGGCTGTGTATACTCACTGGTAGCTTGCCGTTCTCTCCAAGAGCACACGGAAAGTTTATTTGTTGCAGGCGACTTCTAACCGCCTCCCACATGCTTCTCTTTTACATGGTTGTTGGCTTTTGATTGAATTGGCTCGTACAAGTAGTGGTAGAGTACAATGCGCATGAACGAGAACACACCCACGCACATATGCATGAATATGTTCCCGTATGCACAGAAAGTATTGGATATTATTGAAAATACTCATTACGGCACGGCGAGTCTACTGAACTCCAACTTTTACCGCTTAAACATTGCTGTTAATTCGAAGTTCGCAGATACTATGCCCAGTCGACGACTATTGTTAACAGGTGTTGCAACCATAGTCGCTTTCGTCGTATTGCACTATGTGTAGGTGAAACTACCAACGATACCCAGAGGTAGGTTGGGCAGTTCAGTGGTAAATTTAGCTCAGGAAAGTAATACTTTTAAATAGTAGAGAACCAAATCGAAAAATGCAATTGGTTTTCCTAGAATTTCAGAATAACAAGCAGTGATTGCTATCGCCGGGATCACTTTTAGTGGTCTAGTGTGACAGTTGCTGCTCCTGCTTCAAGCATTCGAAAAGAAATAGCCGTAATTAGTTCAGCAGACTCCGCCTTAGTATGAGTTTGCCGTCGTTAACTGGTCTTCCATGTGAAAATATAAACCAATTCTCGGAGTGGGAGACAATACAGCTCCTCGCCGAACATTGCATTGTGAAATCCGGAAAGATTCCGTGCATGATATCTTATAAATCATCGACAGTGTTTCTTAAAAAGTAGTTTTTTTCAGAGCCGAATCACAGTGTTGTGATCGAGAACCTTCGTCCAAATACTCAATACTTTATCCGACTTCGAGCGAACGACCAAATGGGTCCAGGTAGACTAGGAAACCCTGCGTCGGTCACCACTCTTAAGCCAGGTTCGTTTTCACAATTTTCAGCTGGCTTCGAATGTACAAAACCTTTTCAGCCTCTCGTCCTTTGGTTACCATTGAACAAGGTGATGAACTGCTTGTTGAACCAATGAAACCTTTTGAACTGGAATGTAACATAACGAGAGCAGATCCAATGCCGATTGTGACCTGGCAGCACAAGTGAGTATTTCGTTTCAGACTCTCACAGAGAGGATTGAATTGATAGAAAAGAAAAATACCGGAAAAAGGCCTAACTACTTTCTCTTGTATCTGAGTGCTATTCTCCTTTCACTCCAGATATAATAGTGAAATTTAAGTAGTTTTTCGTTTCTTTTTTTCTTGCGGAGTTCCTTGTGGTGTCAAGTTCATTTGACAACTGGTGGTCAATGCTGCCCTATGTAACTTAAAGGAATGCAAGAAATTTTTCGAAATGTTCCAGTTCTTTGTGTGTTGGTGTTTCTAAAAGCGAGAGAAGAGAAAGAAAATGATGGCTTGGCAGAATGGCAGAATGATCTTATGAGATAGCAACTGGCTCATAGATATTTGAATGAGATGAAAGGGACGTTCTTGCAGAGGGCGTCCACTTAACAAAGGCGAGAGGACACTGTTCATGAAGATGCACATCGGCGGAATCATTGAGAACACGGTCTTTTCGTGTGTTGCTGAGAATGAGGCTGGGAAAAGCACGAAGCGAATCAACATCACAGTGACTGGTGAGTGATGAATGTTCAATCAGTCATACTTGAGAATTTGTACAAATCTACATAAATTCTGCAGTCATCCTTTCGACTGCAGTTGATTCAAATAGAGCCATCGGATCACCGTCCACAAGAGGAAGCCGTTTATAAAACACTATGAATCGGTAGTGAATAACTGCGAACTCATTTTTTCCCACTTCGGTGAAGAGTTTGCAATAAATCGAGGAGGTCCAAAAAGTTCGGCTTCCATTGGAAGTCGTTCGAAATATAGTTTGGTCTGTTTGTTTATCGAAAACTCGACAACACCTAGTTAATCTAATCGCAGTCAACACTGAAAATGAGCACAAGCTCGGTTTTATTGTTGTACGGAGCGATTTTTGCCTTCGTTATAACATTTTCGAAATATTCCTTGTTCGGTTTAAAAACCGCAATTTAACTTTATGATCCTGTTTTGAAAGGAAAATAATGAATGAAGTTGTGTGTTGTTGTTATTCTCTTCTTCAGTGCTTGATTCCAGCGTTCTGTCAGTGGGTTGGATCGAATATCTCCTGAGTGCTGGACGCTCACTAACTGATTTTAGGGCCAACAGCTCCCGAGCGCATTCGCTACCAAGTGGACGGTGATAAAGTGAATTTGCAATGGGAACCACCACGTATCCCGAACGCGCCGATGGTTGGTTTCGATATCCTTTATACCGACAACCCGGACCTTCCAGAGGATCAGTGGATGGTTGGTATTGCAGTAATATACTTGACCAGATTTCCCTAGTTTTTCCCTTTTCGTTTTCATTAACCGTTTTGCGGTTGCAGTTTTACTTAAACCTTCTTTTCTTATTTCTCGTGATGTTTTGCGTGTATAGATTTCGTTATTGTATCCTGCAGGCCTTCTTTAGGAGTTCTCTCCAACTAATCACCTTTGCAGGTGCAACACATAGACAATCCATTCGATCATTCGGCAACCATTTTCGATTTGAAAGAGCACACTCCGTACACCTTCAAGATTCGCGGAGAAAACCGACTCGGCAAAGGACTTCTCAGCAGGCCTTTCAATGCCACTACCTGGGTGGGAGGTGAACAAGAAGTTTATATTGAGATAATGAAAAGAGTAAAACGATGAGGGTGTTTGGCATTGAATGGTTTTTTATGTATGTGCCGTACATTCCAAAGCTTTTGGCATCGTAGAGATGAGTGTACTTTTGGACTTTATAATGGCTTTTAGGAATTTGCTCATATACGAAATCAGTGTTTCTATTTCCTCAAAGAAGTCTGGTAACAATTTGGCGAGCACGGGCACTTATCCTATAGTGTTGCAATGGAAATAGTTAAATGAAAATAAAGCTGATCAATCACTGAGGGGTCCGCCATGCATTCGACATCATTAGGCATCGTTAGAGGTGATTGAATGCATATCTAGCCTTTACCATGACTCGCGGTGGCCTGCCGATGTATCGAGTCAGTGCTGCTGCTCTCCAAGGCAAGTTTGGTACCAATTTTCCGATCTTAGAGGGAGAGAAGAAGGCTTAGTGAGCCACGGGCGCCGGGATTGGGCCCATCAGGGTGTTGCAGAGTTTATCGAAATAGTTACTACTTTGAAATCGTGAATTCACACTCGAAAATTAAGTTTTCTTTGTTGTTAGCGTCTTCCAAAATTCGCTGTTCGCTGTTTCATTACTTTGCGACATTGCTAAATGTGCCACTCCTCAGCCCTAGACCAACCGGGGCCTTGCTTCCGTTAGGCTAAGGTGTAACAAATTGAATGAAAATCGTCCGTTCCATACTTGGAACTATCCGTCTTTTACTCTTAAGTTTCGCAGTTATTTTAAGCTCGACCTCCATCTGTAACTGTGATGCCATCCGGTCAGATCGTAAAGGAGCCGAGCAATGACCCATTAACCGTTGAGTGCGAGGCACTGGGTGTTCCTAAGCCAAAAATCATCTGGTTGTGGAGTGGCCAGCTGGTGGAAGACGGAAAGGTTGACGATAATATTTCGCTTTTTACATAAACTTTTATCAAATGTCAGTTCCATATTGATTTTTCATTCCAGGACGAATTTCGAGTGTACGATATCACTCCAATGGACGCTAATGACCGCTCAAGAAGCAAGTTAATTGCGCAGAGCACCACTAGGACAGGAACGGCCACATGCCAGGTCTGAACCACTGCAGCCTTTTTTATTTTGTAGTGATAACACACATTTTCAGGCAGTAAATGCTGAGGGGTCGGATGAGAAAAGGACGGAGGTGAAAATTCTCGGTCCAGGGAGTGCACCCCTGAACATCCAGCCAACGCCCATGCACACCGGCTTTGACGTCGCCTGGTATCCGCCGAAAAGACCGAACGGACGCATCAAGGCGCGACTTATAACCATCGCATTGAGTTTCGTTGAATGAGAGATAAAGATTCCGTTCATTTTTTCAGAGCTATATAGTATATTATACCAAAGATCCCGATCTGCCACTGGCTGAATGGAACTCCCAAGTTGTCGATGGAAGTCAGAGGTACATTCTCTTGCTTGGTCATGGGGTTTGGCCACAGAGACAAAGTCAAGTCTTTAGTCAAGTACCTTAACGTACGTTTGGTTATATCCAGTTATAAGAAATGACTAAATAAAGATTAAAAATGACGACTAAAAGTAACTGGAATAATTTTTAAAACTAGTGGCAGATAATTTTCGCTACTCCTTACATAATACGATGGCGCTTTCAGGAATCTGACGGTGCACGTTGACGATGAAGACACTCCTTATGTGGTGAAAGTTCAAGCAGCCACTGATGACGGCGCCGGTATCATTTCTGAGGCCTATGAAGTAACGACTGGAAGAAAACGTGAGTCGAGCTAAATCATACTATGAATACAAAAAATTAGACCACTCTAAACCAAAATCAGATAAGAAGCGTTTATGTGGATGCTCAGCGGCAACATTATCTTTCATGTGAGATCGATTGCAGAAATTCCGTTGGCTGTGCACCTGGAGATAAGCGACCCGCACATTGACGATTCCATCACCGAAACCGAGGTCGACCCCGCGCAGCCTATTCACTTCAGGTAACACCAAATTCGTCCATCCATCCATAGTACTTTTACGCCGTCTTCAGATGTGTGGCAGAAGGTCGGCCGATGCCGAGTGTATCATACAGCTGGCTGCCAATAAATTCTACTGAGAGCGGGGACGTGAGTTTGCCGTTCTATTCACGATACAAATAGGCTGCTGTGCGAACCTCTTCATGATCCATCGCTTAACACTAACGTCATGAAATTTGGAATTTTTGCACATAACATTTTATTTCGTGGTAGAAGGTCGGTCCTCATGTTATGTCGTTGTTCAGTTTATGAACTGCAAAGCGTACTCAAGCCGAAGTAAATGAACACAGTCGAAAATCTGAGCCAGAATTTAATCATGTTTGTGCTGTAAAAGGAGGGATTTCATTGTCACCGCTCAGCCTATAGTTTCAGGAGCCAGTGCCCATCCCGGTCAGCCCTGATCCGGCAAAGGAACATCGCTACAATTCGATTAAGGTGAAGTTCATGTTTGTTATTATGCAATACTTACTTGTATACTTGTATGGCCCTTCTTCACTGGTAGTTCGGACCCTGGCATAATTTCCATTCTTTCGGAGTTTAGCTGGTTTAGCAATGTGATTCCCCGCTGTCCCGAGATCAACCTAGCGTCGCCGCCTTTGTGGATCAGAGATAGATTTGGCACCACGAAGCCAGTTTGATATGATGACGATGGTGGAGCCTGGTATTGGTTTTCTTTTAGGTGGCTTCCTAATAGAAACGCCGGACTCCTTCTCACTTTGGAAAACTTTGCTGTTGAATGAATCCTCCGCTGTAGGCACGCAGCCCAACGCTTAGAAACACCTCCCAGCCACGATGAGGGGTTAAACCGTTGGGAGGATTACTATGCAGTAGATTACTAAAAACACGAAATTCATTGAATAGTAATTGATTTCATTACTTTTTAACCTACTTCTGTTTGAACTTTTAAGCTTTGGTTTTCACCTATTTAAAGTGTTCACACAAAGACTTCGTCTAGACCCAGAAAAGAGTTCAATGAATGAATAGTTGTGTCATCCGAAGTTCTGAGAGAAGCTGATAATCATATTGAGTTCAATCGATGTTAACCTTTCTTTCATTAGGTGTATTCAACCACATCGACGAAGAGGATCCTGCTGTGTCAAGCCAGAAATTTAGACGGGACAGTGGAGGACAAGCACTTTTTCATTGTTAATAGTAAGTTTCAAACATCATTCCACTTTTTTTAAACTAAGCCGTTTTACCTTTTATTAGAGTACTTTTCTTTAAGATGATCAAGAATTTTCACAGTCACTTATACGGTTCTATTTCAGAACCGGGCAGCCCACCCAGGGACATCGATGTAATTGTTGATCCGGACAATCGAGTCACGCTAACTTGGCAGCCTCCTAAATATCCTAACGGGGAAATTACAGTAAGCCCGAATGTATTTGCCGAAAGCCTGAAAGGCGTCGCTTGTTTTTTAGTTGTTTCTGCTTGGGAGTTTTCTTCAGCTGTCTAGATAATGTCGATGCAAAGATGAAAAGCTGTTTCTGCTTATAGTCATTGGAATCCGAATGCATTTTCAGAAATGAAGTCCCATCGTATGACTGCCCTTTAAGCCAAACAAATTTGTCCATGCACTAAACAAAGCCTCCCAAGCATAGAAAAATCTGACTTTCAGCAAAAGTAAAATAAATATGAAGGGAAGCGCTTTGCCACTTCACGTAGCAATTCCAGCTCTTTAACAAGCACAAATGCAAAGTGTGCATTGTTTTTTTAAAAATATTGTTAGAAAACCACGATTATTTTTCCAGAGCTACAACGTGTACCTGACGGGTGACCCGTCGAAGCCCGTGAGTCAGTGGCAGGTGTTTGAAGTCAAGGATCCAAGCAATCCACGACTCGTGTTCAAGAGGGGCGAACTCGAACCAGAGAACCCTTACTACGTAAGAATCGCCGCCGTCAATGTGGCCGGCGAAGGCATCCTCTCCGATGCCACTCACTTCAACACCGTCAGTGGAGGTCTGCCAGAAAACTTTTCGAGAAATTGCAACTTTTTTCTGAAAGATACTCAGAAGAATCGGGTAGGCTCATCACCGTCAGAAGTGCTTGGTTTTTGGTTATTGGATATTTGAACCAAATTTTTCGAAATATCAGTTCATCGTGTCCACATTTCGGATATGCGGCGCTGAAAAAAGTTCAATCTACAGAGCTCGACACGGTTGCGTGAGACCGCTGTTTGCGAACTTGACGTCACAACTTCAGCTGCGTAGCAAAAAATTCGACATTTTTTTTTAAATGAAAATGACTGAACTAGCCATAGGAAGTTCCAAGGCAAAGCAACAGTGCGCATTATTCCTGGCTTACCGCTCTTATCATGTTTCGTTTGCGCAGTGCTAAGGGTTTTAATTCCGATATTTCAAAAAAAAAAAACGCCACTTTTTTGCCTCTATAAATAGCTTGTTTGACTCTATAGTCCTTCATTATTTAGGTTCCAGTTCAAATTTTAATAACTGTGCCACTGTAAGCTTAATCTTTCGAAAAACCATGACTAATGTCTTGAGGATATTTCAGCACCGATTGACGCCCCGAGGGACATTCTACCGTCGGTGGCGGAGGACAACAGTGTCAATATTACTTGGTTCGGACCACGAGAGCCTAATGGACAGATGAAGGTTACCAAATTTTCGCTGAAAATTCTAACCTTGCTAGCAAAACCAATTTCTAGTAATTCATATCCCTAGTACCAAGGCGTTTAAGCAATTTTCCGTTGCTTTTTCCACTAAAGACTACTTTTTTTCATATTGAAAAATTCAATAAAGAATAGCAGTTTTTGTCTCTGCACTGGAAGCAGAGGAATAGCAGAAGATGATCGTAGAAGGAATGAAAATAATAGTATAAATTCACAGCTGAGCGAAGACCAGCTTATGCAGTGTTCCGCTAAGACAAGGAGACATTGGCTACAAAGAGGTAGTGGATATTTGTCACGTGGGGAAATAGAAAATAATCTCTGCCTATGAGATAGAGTATGAGATAGAGAATGTTCTCTATACGCAGTGATGAGAAGAAGCTTCTACGTTATCTCCCAGAAGTAGAAAGGAAAAATGGTTCAGGGAATTTTGAGTGAAGAATAGCATGTGAACAGATCGAAGGATGTTCTCATTGCGGTTCAATTCCACCAAAATAGTGGTGAAATTCTTTCTGTACCTGCTAAATTTTTCTACTGTTATGAAGACTTGAATAACGGAACCAATCAATTTCAGTCTTACACGATTTATTTCACTCCTGATGATGGTACGGTGGATGAAGACTATAAGAATTGGGCCCGCATCGAAGTGCCATCGACGGAAGACCACGGTACCATCACGATCGATAAAGATCAGTACAGCATCAAACCGAACACACCGTACAAAGTATGTTGTCTTCAGAAAGTTGACGAATGATTTCATGAGTTATTCGCTTTGATTGTTTTTTTTTCTTCATCGGCGTTCAAGTTTTTTGTCATATCAATGGGCCGCATTGTCTTAAGCAACCGTTCCCCGGTGGCCCGTGAATTGGTTGCAGTTTTCTTCGACTCTGTTCCATTTACGATGTTTGAATTTCATATTTTGTAGTAACTGCCACGACCGACTTTCTATTAACCTCGGCATTGATCAAATAATTTTCTTCGTATTTTTGTTAAGCAAACGCGAGGTGTTATTATTCTTTAGTCCTTATTATTCTTTGTTCACGATTAAGCTGACGTTTCGGCGGATTTCGCCTTCCTCAGAGCCTGGAAAGGTCAAGTTGATAGCAATCTACTCGGCCAGACGCCTCCATAACCAAACAAAGAAACTCCAAACCAAGATTTCAATCACTTTGAACACAGCTTTGCACACTCACCGCTTTCTATGAGGTTTCCACTAAGTATGTCACGTAGAGACCAACCGCACAGAAATCACGTGGAAGTATAATGTGCCCCTCACATTAGAAAAGCAGTTTTATATACTGCCCTATATCACGCGTGATAATGAGGCACTCTTCCCTGCGAATCATTTTCGGATTTCTGGAATTAATCCAGAGTGCCTCGAGAGTTTTTCGCGCCTGTGTTCTTGATTCGCGTGCGAGGATCGTGACACATACTTCGAAGTCGTCCCCGTTATGTCTCTGGGTCCTATGCGTGCCTAGCGGGGTATTTGGTCTATTTTTGCCGGCTAGGTGTTCTTTCATGCGGACACAGAGGGGTCTACCCGTTTCGCCAATGTATTCACCACCATACGTCTTACAGGAGATCAGATAAACTATACCCGAGTTCATGCAATCACCGTCTCTACCACTGGGGCAAATTATGCAATTTTGAGTTGCACATAGACGGTCATATAGGCGGTTACGAACTAGCTGGCGCTTAAGATTTCTCGGTAGTATTTGAACTATGCCCACCGAATTCTCTAAGCCCGCCCTTCTTAAGCAGCGTTTTATAGCTGTACTTATATCATTTGAGATGAAGGGTAGGATAAATGGGACCCTTCCTTCTATCGCTAAAGTTGTCGTTTGGAGGCCTACGATTTCCTCTACACATATCCTGAGCTACAGTTTCGTAGCCATTAGAAACGGCTATTTGCCGCGTCAAGTACCGGGACTCGTCTCTGCTTTCTTCCCGTGCACACGTTGGTTGCTGTCGAAACATGTTTCTTACAAGCGCTCTTTTCGTGTGAGAGGGGTGAGAAGAGAGGTAATATACCAAGATGTTTTACTTTTCTGACAGGCTAATGGACGTTCAGGAATGGAAGCTATTTTTTTTCGGTTTCTCTCGGGTGAACTTGATATACTCTGACTGTTTATTCAACAACTCGAAATATTTGTTCATTTCCTCTTGTGTTGAGCAAAGACAAAACAGTCATCTATATATCCACAGTAGAGTAGTGGCCCGAGGTCGGTCACCGGTGCTTCCACCTTTGAAATAAATGCAATGGCAAGGCTTGGAGCCAGTCGTTGTCCCATTGCCAACCCTCTTATTTGAGCGTAGTACTTTCCAGACCATCTGAAGATTGAGCAGCTCAAGCATTCTTTTAAGAGTGCCATCAGGTGCTCTATTATATTCATATTTTGTGATGTGTTAGAAAGAAGAAACAGTAGTGAATAGCTGGAGCTTGAAGCTTAAACACAATCGTACTGCAGTCGGTTTATGACTGTAGAGTGATTAATAAAACAATTAAGTGACTAAAACTAATCACGTTTAAACACTTAGGTGCGCATTTCGGCAACAAACGACCAATCTGAAGGTCCTGCTTCGGAACCGACATTGTTTGAAACCGGTAGTGGAGGTAGCATTATTTGATTATTTGTTTTATGTAGGAGTAGCAGGTCTAGAAGAAAAAATACCTTAGCCGACTAATTAGGACTGTGCTTATTTTTAAAAATCCTTAAGATTAATACCAGACTTGCCTGAAAGCAGTACACTCCCTGCAATCCACGTGGGAACGTATTGCGCGGCTATTAGAGGATTCTAGCAAGAATCGTCGGCTTTCAACGACATTGATAGCGAAGACGACAATCCTAAGGCAGCAGCCGAACCTAAGCGCGAAGAGATTGGAAACTTTTCTGGTTGCTGGATGCGAAGAAACGAATCGACTGGGCGGAGTGCTGGAATCAGCGTAGCAGATTTCTATACGGGTCGTATGGAATAAAAAATAAATGCTTACAGCCACAGTAATTCCATTTGTTATACTCAGAACCTATTCCAGATTCGAACACTCGATTACCCTTTCGGAGAGCTCACGTGTTACTCACTGCATCACTGAGATCCTTGCTTTGCCTTTCTCTCAGCCAGTTTACTACCTAACGGTGTCATCAGCAATCACCAGTCAGCGGGGATTATCTAGGGAGCACAAATCGTCGTTGAACGCAGTTAGGCTGAGGCTGCAGTCGAAATCACAATGCGTGACTTTTTACTTACCGCCCCGTATTTTTTTTCGAGAAGGTGTTATTTGAAATACAACCACAGTGATACTGAGATATTTGTAATACTCAGATCCCGGTCCGGATTCGAACTCTCGCTTAACCTTTCAGGGAGCCCACCTGTTAGTTACTGTACTATTGAGGCCCACGCTTTGCCTTTCTCTCACCTAGTTTCTTATCGTAACAGTGCTTCCTACCATGTGAAAAGAAAGAAGAAATAATAGGCAAAAAAATTTTTTAAGAAAATACTCCAACCTGTTGCATAAAAAGATGTTTGGCACGTCGTATCAACAATTCAGAAACACCTCCGTTGATCAGCCTCGATCCTCCGATGAATATTGTGAGCGTAGAGCCAAAAGGCTCGGTGAGCATCGTGTGTTCGGCAACCGGCATACCTCAACCGCATATCTACTGGATTCTCGAAAATGGAGAACGAATCGATGGCAGGGCACTGCATCTCTCAAATCTTGTCAAGGTGAGCAGATCTCAGCGAAATAATCGTTTAGTTTCTTTTCGTATTCAACTGATATTATCTCGAATTTTCAGAAACAGTAATTGTAGAATAAACAGCTTCAGGAACACCCTCAATCTACCGTATCCTTAGAGCAGTTCCCATAGAATGAGCTAGAGAGCACTCAGTTTTCATTTTAAATATGAATATATTACTTCAAGTTTAAATATATGTAATGCATATAGAAGTCCTAAAAAAACATAATCATTTCTGAACTCAGTACCAGAATGTAGCGTCATCATCGTGGCGATTTATTGCCGTTGCATATTTTATTTTTATTAATTAATTTAATTCTTGAGAGCTCAGACCTTGTAATGTATGGCGTGGTAGATTTTCACATTACTTCTCGTCATCATCGCGACTATTGACCAGAATTAGTCGCTAACTGATTTGAAATGGATCATCGAAGGTTGCAAGCAAATATTAGACGAGATAATCATTTAATGGGCGCCTGTAGCGCAGCGGTCGGAGGTGCCTTGTAATACACATAGGATCGATCCACGCGCCCCTGGTCTACCAAGACCTCGATGCTTCCTGTGTTGGTAAACTGGTACCGGACTTGTCTGAGAGGACAGCAGCACTGGCTCGATACATCGGTAGGCCACCGTGAGTCATTGTAAAGGCCAGATAAGCATTCAATCACCTCCAAACGATGCTTAATGAAGTCGAATGCATAGCGCGTCCCTCTGGGATTCATCAACGCCGAGAGCTTTATCCTTTTGTATTTTTATTCATTTAAATATCTTCTTTAGCGTTGCTTTTTAAAGCAGAATAAAACACTTCAATAAAAGAATCTTGATCTGTAAAAGTTAATCACCCTTAACCCCACATATTGGATATTAATTCACCGCCTTCTTTTCAACATCAACTAGAGATGTATAGCATCGCACCTGGTGGTTGTTTTTGATGACAAGTCTTCGCAGAAATAGCAAAACTTACTTATCAGTTGTTGACGGAGAACCTTTGTTTTTATCCATACTCTCTTTGTTGGAATCACAGAAAGTTCCTTTCCCATTTGTAGTCATTCAAGTTCCTCTTCAATTATGAGACAGACCAAGCGCTCCAAAGCACTTCATCAGTGCTAATAGTAGTCGGCGATATCTATTCCCGTTTTTTTGCTGTGCAGGCGATAAGGTTCAGGTGGAATTTCGTTACGTACGTATGCACTAATAATTATAAACTCCTCCACACCTAAGGAATAACTAACGACACGAACTTCAGGACGTCTCAGCCACATGCCGCGCCGAAAACAAAGCAGGGAAGGCGCAAGAAGTGGTGCAAATCCAAGTCTCCGGTTTGTGCGTTGGCATGTTCTCCAGAGTTGTCATTAGAATAGATTTACTATTTGTAGGACCTGGAAGTCCTCCAAATGAAATCGTTTTGCTCCCTATGCCGAATCAGATGATCAACGTCGAATGGACGACACCGGATGAAGTGAATGGAAGAATCATAAACTACATTGTGCACTATGGAGAAGTGCCTGAAGGTTTGCTCATGAACAACAGAAATATTGTGGTTATTTTTTCTTTTTTATAGAGATCGCTTAATTCATGGTAGTTTAAGACGTGAAGGGGCTGAGCAGTTCACTGTTTCTTGAATTGTTTCAACTCATGGCCATTCCTGCTGTGTCCCTTGCTACATTCAGATTTTACCTCTTGTGATAGTTTTGCCTTCACTTGTTCAGTAACGACAATAAAAGCTCTAGAGAAATCGTCAGATTATGGGCTTAAGAGTGAACAGGTGTTAACAGTTTTCTAAAAAAGAACCTCTGAAGATCAGTGCAAAAATTGTGAAAGCAGCCTTTCTAAACACAGCACAAATGAAAGAAAGCGACAGAAATCATTCTTTGATTTATTTCTCAAAAAGGCTGAAGTTGATGACGAAAACTTCTTAACTGTTGTAATTGGAACAATCTAAGGAGCAACTGAGCCGACCGAATGGCAGCAGGCAACCGTTGACGGACTCGACGTCAACCACCAACTCCCACAACTGAATCCGAAGACGAACTACGCCATCAGAGTGCAAGCCATCAGCGACCGTGGTCCTGGGGTTCTCTCGGCTCCGCAGATGATCCGCACTCTTCCCTTGGGTACGTTTGCACATTTTCAGAGACTGAATTCGTTTACTGGATGGCTAGTTCATTCAGCAATCTCGGATATTCAGGACTGTGTGACTATTAAAGCGACTTGGACCTGCTTAATTACTTGTGTTCAGGCACAAAATATATTAACAGCAGAGAAACCCCACTTGTTCTTGTGCTTAAAAAATCAAACTCTAAATAAAGAAAAACATTTGTTTACCAAGAAATGAACCACTGAGGCCTCCCAATTTTTTCGCTTCGTTTCGAGAGCTCATATCTATGACGTTCTTACCTATGCGTTTATTCTGCCACGCTCACATTCCAGCTCCTGCACAAATTACACAACCGGAAGTCAACGTGTTTGACAACAACTCAGTTACAATCGAGTTTGCTCCACCAATAGACCCCGACGTACCAGGAAGACATATAAAGGTTAGTGCAAAATCCTTGTAAAATTTGGCTACCGAAGTCTTTAACTTACTCATCACCCAACCATCGTTGATTTCGTGAAGAGCAAAAAACGATGAGCTCGTCAGCGACTTACCCAAGACAATAGTGGCTTCTCTTTCGACAATCAATGATAAATTTTCGATGGCTCTTGGACTTGTGGGTTTGCCAACATCAGAGATTGTACAAGAGGTTTTGCTTTTTCCATCTAGAGGTGTAACGTTGCTACTATATGCTACATTTCACTAGCGTGCACGTACGAAACAAATCGCTGTCTGAATTTGAAAGGATTTTACTACTCATGTTGAATGTATTTCGGTACTTCTTTTAACACACCAATAACCACCTACGATAGTCATGGCCCACCGCAATAGATAAAAGTGTAAAAAAACAGTGAATTACCGCTCAAGAAATGAACTTTTGCATGCTCTACAAAAGGGACCATACTTGTTTTCCAATACCTCCCAATAATTTTCGCTAACTAAATTAAATACGTCGTTGATAATTTGATACAGTTATGGAGGAGAGGATATGGCGTGTGTGGCGCGGTGGTCGGAGGCGCCCTGCAGCACACACATGAAATCGATCTCAACGCCCGTGGACCACCAAACCTTCCATCCCTCCGGGGTCGGCAAATTGGTACCAGACTTATCTGAGAGGATAGCAGCACTAGCTCGATACATCAGTAGACCACCCCAAGCCATTGTAAAGGCCAGATATGCATTCAGTCACCTCCAAGGATGCTCAATGAAGTTAAATGCATGGCACATCCCTCAAAGATTGATCAACGCAGCGCGCTTTATCCTTTTATAGAAAAGGAAAATTTTCCTATCCTTTAAGAAGAAAGCAATAATTTTTTTGAAATGTAGTTTTTTACTTTGTCTTTTGAAATCCTTGTAGTCTTTCATAAAAAGAGCTGTAATCGTGTCGTAGTAGTTCGTAAAATACCATCGTCGTGTACAATAAGATTTAGTTCTTCGTTTTTTCCAGGATTTCGTAATCCAGTACACTTCTGAGGACCCTCCAACTGATGAAACCGACTGGAAAGAGCTTCGTTACACGGATCCGCGTGACTACGACAACATCACCGTGAGTGCGGCATTTCACAGCTCACACCGCGTCTCTCGAACTAGCAGCGACATAGCCACATGGAAACGCTTTTCAGATTGTGCCAATCGATGGTGAAAACTTCAATCCGGATACCAAATACCATCTAAGGATTATTCCAAGAGGAGAAGTTGACGGTCCAGCTAGTGAGACCTTAACGTTCTCCACTGGTGATGGAGGTTTGTGTGGAATAGATTGTTTATACTTTGATTTCGCGAAATATTTACGACCTGAACTTTTTGGAAAAAGTGGGAGTGTTGGAAAAGTCTCCCAGTGTGCCTGCTGCTATTTACGGCAGAGATTCTAATAGGTAGCTAATGGAAGAAAAACCTGATCATTAATAATTTCTGTAACAGAATTGACTACCATTTGCTTGCAGTGATCATGCCTTCGCAGCCAGTAGTGAATGTGGATGCTCCTGAAAACACAATTCGTGTCCCCGCTGGAACCGATTACACAGTCACCTGCTCTTCTACGGGGTTTCCACCACCGGAAATCCGCTGGGTGGACAGGGAAGGAAACGTCAGTTGCGACGCGTGCACGATTCCTCCTTTCAGATATTCTACTTTGAATAAACATTTTGTAGCAACTCTCCGACGGCCCTCATCTAAAGCTCATCGATGTGAGGCGCACAGTGTATGCGAAATGTTTGGCCGAGAATCGAGGTGGTATTAAGGAGACTGAGTTCACCGTGTTTGTAGCAGGTTAGTTCTCTTGGGTACTTCAATGCCAATATGAAGAACGACTATTCTTTTCAAGGATAAACCAAGTGGCTCTGAGTCGTGCGTATTTCGAAATTCGAACGATCCGCTTCTTTGAAATTCTCGAAAGCACTCAATTGACTAATCAGATCCTTAATAGACTAACAACGCCCTGAGTTAACCAAACTAAGCCTTCAATCATTCTAGAATAGCAAAGTAATGCTATCCTTGCCTGGGAGGAAGGATACTTATTCAGTACCTCGGTGGCCACCGCAGCTCATTTTCTAGGTCAGATGTCACTTCTGCGGTGCCTAGTGGCCATGGCGAATCCCTTGGGGATTGCTCTATGTCGAACGCTTTACACTTTTATAGAAAAAAGCTATTACACATACAACGAGCAGTCCGCGTTCTAGAACGCACGTCTTGGAACCTATGAATAGGAGTCAAATTATATGTCTAAGGCGTATTTTATGCATTCAGACTAAAGATTTCCTTTAAGAAGAACTGGACTCCTTATGAAGAGAGGAATCAGTAGTTCAGGTCCGGGATCAGCACCAGAAAATGTGCTTCTACATGCTGACAAACCAGTGACGATTTCGGTGCAGTGGGATCCTCCACTAATCACGAACGGCAACATCACAAAATACATTGTATACTATACACCTTTAGATGACCAGGTTAGTTCAAGGAGTCCCATCGAGTAAGTTCAAGCCTTTTTTTTTGGAAAAAGGCACAATGAGAAGTCATTGCAACGACTATTTTCATAGCGCTTTTGGCGATTCCATAGGGTTGCAGATAGTCCCCTTGCATCCAAATATTCTAATCTCAAGCATGAACAACAATTTAGACAAAAGGCTGACTAACCAGGAATAATTTTTGAACGATTTTCACCTAAAACGATTCTATTTGTAGTAAAAAGGAGTTTGAGAAATACTAACTTGTTGAGAACACGCAAAGTGAGATTTTACAGGATCCTGCACACCAGATCGGCCAGGTTCAATCGCGACCGATCAATGAGTGGATCACTTACCACGATACTCCGGATACCAACGGCACAAGGAGGGCCGAGTTGAAGGACTTCGTCGAAACCGACACCGCTTACGCGGTGGTGGTGCAAGCGATCAATGACGATGGACCGGGGCCGTATTCGAACCAGTACACCGTTCGTACTATGTCTCGCGGTAAGTGTCGTACGTGCTAAGTGTATAGATGGAAAATTACTTCACCACTGCTTTGTAGTTTTCTGAGTGTTTCAGGGGTTCAGAAATTCAAAATTGTGTCATTTTGGGAAAATAATTTATTTCAATCGAATTACTTCAGGTTCTTTCACTATTTCTTCCACAATAGGTTGTTTGCCCTGCGGTGGCTAGAAGTGCCTTGCCAGACCTCTATGGAAACGTAGAAACAGTGACTTATTGCATCGGTGGGCCACAATTAGTCATTGTATAGGGTAGATATGCATTCAATCAGCTCCACGTTGCTCGGTGAATTTAGATGCACGACTTAACCTTCAGGGATTGATCAATATCGAACGCTTTACCTTCCATCCATTATTTCTTCCACAAATAACGAAGACCAGCATGAAAATCATTTTACTTGTGGTTCTCCTTTGTTTAATGGCTCACAGTACTAACAAGGACAAAACCCTTCTTTCACGCCACCATCTCTAAAGTATCGATCACCACTCGAGCAAACTGGGACAAAACTAGCTTTGAATTTGCATCGTACAAAATTTACTCAGCCTTTGAAGTATAGGTACTCCAAACGACTTGTAGCAGAGGTCTGCTGAAAGTACGATTATTTATGCCTCCGGGATCTTCTTAAAATAGTTGTGCTCTTGCAAATTGCCAGTTTCTTTCAAATATCAAATTCTATCCGTTGGAAATTGAGTATAACCTCTATCGCGAAATTCGAAACTAAGACAAAGTGATCTATTTCTGTGATGAATTAGGGGAATTTTTTTGGGGTTTCGTGTTTCCACTTCCTTGGAAGTGGATTTAATCCTTACCAGTTTTTGGAACCACTTTGACCCAAACGAAACCGTTTCTCCCAAAATGAAATCGAACTTCATTTGTTGGAGACGACTTCGAACCACCTCGAATGTATTTTATAGTCAGTTGGATCAAACGATTTTGAGACCACGTATATGGAACCGCACCTGCGCACGTACGCAAAGAGATGCGTAGATACATGCAGAGCGTATGTGTTAATTTATCATAATAGAGATGGGTATTCCATATGGTGCATCCATTTGGATCTCAGGGGAGGTTTAGGTTCGCTTTCCTGCCGTCTTTGACCCTAGCCCTCCTGCCTGAAACACTCCACGTACTCTCGTCATTAAAGGTTGGAGAAGCTCAGTGAGTGATCCTCTTTGCTCTAACGCACAACTGTGAATATACTTTTGATAAACGGTGCCTGTCATATGCTTATTATATACTAAGTGTCTATTATATGGCATATTTTTCTGTCGAATCTATGAAATGAAACTGCTTTTAGAACAATTTTCCATCCCCAGCTCGCTATTTCGCAATAGAAATGACGTTTTAATCTTCTTTAAATGGAGCGATCTACTGTCATCCTAGATGCTCCTAGAAAAAATTTTTTCCCACCACATTCCGTACTGAATGTTGACGCATAGTTTTTGCCTCTTTTCAGCGCGCGAAGGAGCACCTGAAGACCTACGGGTAGAGCCAGAAGGGCAGCGTTCTGCGCTAGTCACCTGGAAAGAACCGACTACCTCAGATGTGCGACCCATCGGATACGAAATCTACTATGTACCTGGCGACAAGAGTGTACATGCAGACATGGTGCTGAGCGAATGGTTAGCTGCTCTTTTAGTATTCATGACAAACTAATTCCTTCTCTCAACCTATCCGTTTTGGATTCCAATCCTTAAAACTAGAAGTTCCTCTTTTGCCGAATCATGAAGCTACAAATTTCAACTTGATCATCATCCACTATTTGCCAGAGTTTGAACAGATATTCCTTTGTAAAGTGAAGTTGTCTAAAGCATAATCCGTTGCAATGTTTACATTGACGTGAGTGTGAGAGAACAGGACAGGTTAATTCGTACTTTAAATTTCTTAAATTGCAGGTCGAAGATCGCAATAGATGATCCAACCAAACTGTCTCACAAAATTCAGAATCTTCTTCAACCGGACACAGACTACGTGTTTAAGATTCGGGCCATCTATCCCGATGGACCCAGCGTGTTCTCAGAGCCGTGCATCATGAAGACGCTACCTGATGGCAAGTGCTCATTTACATCGTTAAGAAGAAAAAGCACTCTGAAAGTGATGGGACTTCTGCCTTGCCGTGGTTTTTCAAATGGCATAGCATCTTTTACGTTTTACTGAGCGCTTATTATTCTTCGAGAGAACGCAAAACTACATACCTTCAGGTAATGCGCCCTACATTGAAGTCTCAACTGGAGAACAAGGTGTCGAAGGCATCACGAGCATTGACGTACTACCCGGATCGCAGATCACCGTATCATGTAATGCCACAGGACTGCCTCTACCATCTGTGAAATGGATTCGTGGTGGGACCTACGAAATTGATCCGAGCACCGTGAGTTGTTTTGGATTGCTGAGAAAAGTAATCGCATCCTCTCTATTTATTCTCTCTCATTTCAATCACCAGCTCATCAACCATGCATGCTATTTTTTTAAACGCTTGAGATTGGCATATTGTGATGTGTTTCTATTTCTAATGTTCACTTAAAACTGTACAAATAAGTCTCAAAGCAAAATTGCAAACAGCAATTAGTTTTTTTTTCTGGAAAACGGTGGACCAAATCGCAAAGTCAGCAAAACCCGTGGTGATCGTGTTAAGCAAGCAGATTCAGTGCTAACTTCCGTGGATTTATGAAATTCTTGGGAAGTATGGAAAGCACAAATCAATATGTATTCTTTCTTTGATGAGCTTACACGAGGTTGATAATGATATTTATTTTCGGCTAACGTTTCGACGTCCTCGTCTTCCTCGGAGCCGATGATCCGAGTCGATGGTCCATGCTTGTTATTCGTCCCGATGTGGCAGCTTCGCCTTCGTGTCGAGCCAGGTCTTCCTCAGTGATCCATCTTCTCGATTCGAGATGGACCATCGACTCGTTATCTCCACATCTAACTGATGAGGAATTACGACAAACTCTCCACCCTTATCACTAACGGAAAGTCTTACGGTTTTCAACCTTATCAGGTCTCGTACCTCTCGCATACCACGTTTTTGCACTGGAGTGAGGTTGGAGCTGTATCTTTTCGCGCGATAGTGATTAAGGAGTTTGAGAGTTTCATTCGCAAACATCCGAAATTTAACATCAACTTCATTATTGGGCTCTTGCTGTCTAAAGAACGTCGGGGGAAATGGTGCTATTCACCTATCAGAAAATGGCTACATTACAAAGTGGTACCGAAAGCCAAGTAGTAAAAACATCTTGGTTCATTACCCCTCCTCTCACCCCTCTCACACGAAAAGGGCGCTTATAAGAAACATGTTTCGAACAGCAACCAACGTGTGCACGGGAAGAGAGCAGAGAGAGGAGTCCCGGAACTTGGCACGGCAAATAGCCGTTTCTAATGGCTACGAAACTGTAGCTCAGAATAGGTGTAGAGGAATTTGTAGGCCTCCAAACGACAACTCTAGCGATAGAAGGGTCCCGTTTATCCTACCCTTCATCTCAAATGATATAAGTACAGCTATAAAACGCTGCTTAAGAAGGGCTGGCTTAGAGAATTCGGTGAGCGTAGTTGAAATACCACCGAGTAATCTTAAGCGCCAGCTAGTTCGTAACCGCCTATATGACCGTCTATGTGCAACTCAAAATTGCATAATTTGCCCCAGTGGTAGAGACGGTGATTGCATGAACTCGGGTATAGTTTATCTGATCTCCTGTAAGACGTGTGGTGACGAATACATTGGCGAAACGGGTAGACCCCTCTGTGTCCGCATGAAAGAACACCTAGCCGGCAAAAATAGACCAAATACCCCGCTAGGGACGCATAGGACCCAGAGACATAACGGGGACGACTTCGAAGTATGTGTCACGATCCTCGCACGCAAATCAAGAACACAGGCGCGAAAAACTCTCGAGGCACTCTGGATTAATTCCAGAAATCGAACCGCAGGGAAGAATGCCTCATTATCACGCGTGATATAGGGCAGTATATAAAACTGCTTTTCGGATGTGAGGGGCACATTATACTTCCGCGTGATTTCTGTGCGGTTGGTCTCTACGTGACATACTTAGTGGAAACCTCATAGAAAGCGGCTCTGAAGAAGGCGAAATTCGCCGAAACGTCAGCTTAATCGTGAACAAAGAATAGTAACACCTCGCGTTTGCTCAACAAAAATACGAAGAAAATCACTTGATCAATGCCGAGGTTAATAGAAAGTTGGTCGTGGCAGTTACATATTGATTAGTGAAACCGAGGTTAAAGGAAAGTCAGTTTCGAAATATTGCAATGATGTATGCCCGGAAGAAAAACAAGTTGTTATCACCGGACATTATCATTATATCGACCATCAGCATCGTGTATAAAAGGGCATCACTGGGCGAGGATGCCTCATTCGAGGAGATGGCTCACTGAAGAAGACCTGACTCGACACGAAGGCGAAGCTGCCACGTCGGGACGAATAACAAGAATGGACCATCGACTCGGATCATCGGCTCCGAGGAAGACGAGGACGTCGAAACGTTAGCCGAAAATAAATATCATTATCAACCTCGTGCAAGCTCATCAAAGAAAGAATGCATATTGATTAGTGATACCGAGGTTCAAGGAAAGTCGGTTTCGAAAAGCACAAAAAAAGCACAGTCGCGGGTGCTGATGTGGGATCGATTCCCGCGTCCGTGGTTTACCAAACCTTCCATCCCTCCGGATCGGCGAATTGGTGCCAAACTTGTCTAGGAGGGTAACAGCACTTGCTTGATACATCTGTAGGGCACTGCGAGTCATTATAAAGGCCAGATATGCATTCGTTCACCTCCAACGATCTTCAATGAAGTCGAATGGGTGGCGCAATAGCGCATCCCTCAGGGATTGATCAATGCCGAGAGCTTCGTCCTTTATCCTTTTATGGAGAAGATTTATGATGCTCTTAGATAATTACTTGTCCTCAAACTTCTTTCTTTTTGAGTATTTTAAGAGAAAATACCAGCATTGAAGGCACGGCTGTAGATTTTCTGTTTTAATCGTTCTCCACGAAGAATATGCCTATCCTACATCCTTGCGGAGGTTTAGTTTATTTTTCATATCGCTTCTTTAGTTTTATCTTGTCAGAACCGTATATGCGACGATGAGGACGTCGTACTCCTTGCCAGCTCTGTTGTTCAATCCAAATTAGTCTGTCTACGGTGATCTAGAAATAGTGCAGTCTATGTGGCCGACATAGCAGATTGTTCACTGGATTTTTCAATGGTTCAGTAGTTTGACAACAATTAATTGTGTTCTAAGCACCAGTTCTCCAGCAGGAGGCGCTCTGCACGTCTGTCCACAACGAATTCATGTTTAGGCTAAGGATGGTGGTACCGGCATTGTCCGATGTTGCATAGTTGATGTAACTAACCACCCGCTGACTGGATTTTTCAGTAGTTTTGTTAAAGCGTGTTTCCGTTCCTTTTTTCATATTATATGAAATTTTGCTAGAAGTTGCTGTTCTTGTTGGACATTTTTTCATATCCTCCTTAGTAGGCACCGGGCGATGTAGATTGTCCGTACGTGGCCCCATCATAGGGCGGTATCGTTTCTGTATGGGTCACTTTGCTTCTGATCTGTGCGTATAACCCGTTTCTAAACTTCTTGGAATAATTCAATAGCTTAGCGCATACGTTATGTTGTGGTGGGCGTTGATCGGGAAAAGCTCTATTCTGCCCCTTGAAATATACAAAAAGCTTTTCATCGAAGAAGTATATTGACCGGTAATTTGACCTGCAAATGACTGTAATTCCAAATTGTAATTTCCTCAATGAATCGTGATTTTTGTGTGGGATGCGCAAGTATTAAAACACAGAAGTAGGCACAGTATAATCACAACCTCTTAGGTTCTCTCTATTTATCGAATAACTACCATTTATTGTCGAAAAACTAGCAAGTTCATGAAGCCTAGGTGTCCTTCGAAGCGGCAGAGTCCTTAAGCGCCACCGCATCGGCTATGTGTTAAATGAGTTCTCTCTCTTTCTACACTCAGCTTCTAGTCGTAAAGCCATGTGCTCACTGATTTGAGGTAGTGATATCTATTGGAGTAAAAGGAAAGTAATCAGTGAAAAGCGGTTACTTTCGAACTCTTGTGAATCGTAAGGGCATAGGGTTCATTTGGAGTTTCGAAGTTGTAAGTTAAATATAGAAATATCCTCATCGCTGATGGAAACAGTTCCAGAGTGTGGTAACGTACAATCAGCTCATATCGAATTCCCATTCTTCCTCTTTTAGGTAATAACTATTGCCTTTGTCCAAAATCCTTTGCATGTTGCTCAATGGTGAACTTCATCACTCGCTGGCAGCAAGGAATGCTAAAGGATATTTCAGGCTGCATTACTGATGGTTCATCCGTGTTTTCGCATAAAGCTGTGAGGTGACTGGGGTGGAAATTTCAGATTTGGTCGTCACATGCAGATGTGGCTCCCACGGTTATCCGGAGAAAATTTTCACCACCTTGGAACTGAAGGCTGTATTTGTTTATATTGTTGAACTTACACAAGGTCGATACGAGATGTTTATTCGGCTAACCATTCGACTTCTTCGTCTTCATCAAAGCGGACGATCCTTGTCGATGATCCACAGTTGTTTCTTTTCTCGATGTGCCATTTTCATCTCGCATAGAACCGGATCTTCCTCAGTTAAGCCTCTGGGATGAGCCGGACACATCCAGCAACGCTGTTTTATACAGGGCGGTTGCTATTGATATGATTACCGGTTGATGATAACCTATTTTTCAACCGATAATCCATCCTGCAGCAGTCGGTATTTTTTAGCTAGCACGTGGCGAACAGCAAAACAATAACTTTCTGAAACCGACCGTCATTTAACCTCGGTACGGTAATAGTCAACATTTGTTTATATTGTCGAGCATACACGAGTGCACACATTCCACTTTTAACTGAGGTCTCCGTTTTTCTGACGTATTGAAAAACCTGTTCAGTGTATGTCAACATATTAGGAGATGACTAGATTATGGTTCGTCTTCCAGAAGCATTCATCTATCGTCATACAAACATACACCTTTGAAAAAAGACCGGAAATATATAAGAGAAATTATATACCGACACGCCTTATCACTGCAAAGGTGGTGACTGGTAGATGACAGTGACGTAAACGGATTCAGAATTAAGCGAGACCTTGAGAAGATCGACCAACAAAATGTGACCAATCGAACGACAACGGCATGATGGTCATGGTCAATAAGTGCACAGTATTTTTAAGTTGACCATCCCACAGCTGGCGGCGGTCACAGAACAACTGTGCTTACCTTACAAGTCGATATTGTTGCCAATGTATCTAGGTAGCACCAAATTTTGCCAAATGATTTAAGTCTACTAAATTACTTGTCCATCTTCCATTACCTAACGGGGCGTCTAGCGCTGTGGTCGGAAGCGCCCGGCGATAAACATGGGACCGATCGCTGCGCCCAAGGCTCACCAAGCCCTCCATCTCTCCGTGTTTAGCAAATTGGTGCCAGATCCTTTCTGGGAGGAGAGCAGCACGGCCTTGATACATCTATAGGCCCTCCTGAGTTATTGTAAAGACCAGATATGCATTCAATCACCTCCTAACGATGCTTAATGAAGTCGTATGCATGGCGCATCCCTCAAGGATTGATCAACACGGAGAGCTTTATCCTTTATCCTTTTATTCTACTCCTGTTTATCGTGGATTTATCACAGTTAACCATTTAGTTTTCTCATCGATGCTCATTGAGTTCTGTTCGCGCAAAGAATACGGGAGAACCACGTTCTTTGTTCGGAGTCTTTGTGAGATTTCTGATCAACTTGTTGCTGGCTTCCCTGTTTTGCCACTGATTTCCGTAGAACGTTGTCACTGGCAGCTGCTTTATGGCTGTTATGGCAGTAACCGTCAGGATTTATGATCCTGCATGAAGACCTGGCCTGTCCACATGGTTTTTGATGTCTTTGCGTATATCGCAACTTATCTACTCCTTTACATACCTAAATCTGCTTTGTGTGAAGCGGTAAACGATAATGTTAACACATCTTCTCGATAGCGTATAACAAAGCAACGAGCCCTTATTCGCCGTGTTTGTTTGATGTGTAGGTTTCTTAGGTTTGCATCGCCACAGTTTCGAGCAAGATGCGCAGAAATAATGGATAAAAGATGGAGCGTTTGGTGTTGATTAATCTCTAGTGAATATACCATGCTTTCGGCTTCATAGAACATCGTTTGAGATTAAATATCTATCTGGCCTATACAATGACTTGCCGTGGCCCACCGATGTACCAAGTCAGTACAGCTATCCTCCCAGACAGGACTGGTTCTAATTCCCTAACCCTGGAGGGATGGAGGGATAGGTGAGCTCGCGGATTAGGGTCGAACGTGCAATGGATCCAGTGTATATTGCAAGGCACCTCTAAGCCTTGCGCTGCAAGTCTTCCTTGCGCAGTAATGTCAATGCTTTTTTTTTATTCTACATTACTTCCTGGATAGTGGTGCTTTAAATCCATCTCACTTTATTCTACTCAGCAGTTTAACTAAGTTGCTCACTCTGTTATTTTTCGAGCATACAAGCCTGGAATGTCAAAAGTTGCTCGTTACGTTAAATCCCAACCACGCATCAATAATGAATTCGTTTCCCAACGTTATCCATTCATTCATATTCAGCCACAAGTTGAACATTCCTTACAGTACGCCTTGGTTTTCTACCCACTTTAACTTCTCTGTTTTATTACTTCGATCCCTGTGTAATGTTCTCAACACTTTTGCTTAATCTCTTAAAAACGATAATGACTACGATATCCTAGCAGTAAAATTTACTCCATTGTCCATCAATGTTTCTGACGAAGAATGTTCCAATCAGAACTGATAAGCGTGAAAGCCGCGGAAGTAAAAGCTTAGTTGTATATACAGGTCGACACAGCAGGCACACATGCGCAGTTTTCCCTACAAGTTGCCAATGTGACCGAGGACACCACATTCAACTGCGTGGCCCAGAACCCTCTCGGACAGGCAAATTGGACCATAAGAGTTAATCTTTTACCAGGTATACTCAGTGTTTTCTAAATCATGCTATCTTGTAAAATTTCACCGCTCGATAATATTTCTTACCTTATATATAGAAAATTTTGAATTTCGCGCCTCCATAATTCAATTCCTTTTCTTCCTAGTCTCTTGGCTTTATACGCTTAAGTGCTATCATTGTTTCCTTATAATTGACTTTGTTAAGAGATTTGTACTTTTTTTAGGACTCGATCCTGAGTGGAAAGACGACTTTGTCACTTCAAAATCAGAGAATGGTGAAGTGGTACTGGTGTTTAGTGACAACCTGCCTGATTACCTCAAACCACCAGTTTGTTTTTCTGTAGTAGAAATTGAAGCAGTGCTACGAAATAGCGAAGCCTGACATTACAGAACGAATGGATCATACGTTACACAGATGACCCACGGAAACCAAAGAATGAGTGGAAAGTAGTTCCCTCAGATTCTGCTCCGCTTACAAGAATTACTGTGCCGGATATGGAGCCGGGCACTTACTACTACCTCGTTGTAGATAGTCCTGACAAGGGAATCCAAACACCCACATTGCTTGTCATGACGCCAAGTCAGTTCTGTCGGAAATTCTAACAATGAGGTACTATCTATTAAAGTGGTCGTATTGCAGAACCTCCTAGTGACATTCGTGTCGGCACGAATATCAATGATGAGACGATTGTAGATTTCAAACCAGCTATCACCTCACAACCCCTGAAGGTTTGCCTCTTACTCTTTACCGGCATTAATCTTTAATATCCAGAAAATACCAATTTTTGAATTGCCTATCACAGTGTTCCTTACGAGTCATAGACCGTTCGAGATAAGAGCAGTGTCGACCTGACTAATTAAAATAGATAGTGAAATGATGAGAAAAATTTCTCTAAGAAGCATTCGATTTCCACGTCTTCTAGTTTCTATTCTTGAAATAGTTACTGGACAATGTGATAAACTCTGGTTCGATAAAATCATATGTTTTTCGTTGAAGAAGTACACAATCAAAGTGTGGAAATTGAGTGATCCGAGCAATATCAAACATTACGAGTCAGACACAGATGTCCCGAGAGGTGTGGTACTTGACGGTCTAGATCCAGACACCGAGTATGCGGTCGTGGTACGTTGGCTTAAAATTGGGTAGTTTGACCAAAAGGATATAATGTTTGGTATTGTAGGTTGCAGCCGAATTCTTCGAAGGTGACATTCTCCCGAGCGAACCAGTCACAGTGCGCACTCCACCAGGAGGTGAGAGCAGTCGTTTTTAGCTATTGACGTTCTTATACGAGAGTTTTAATTAAGGTAACCTACCACTTATTCCAAGGGTGTTGTAAGGCTATTTGTTTTGAACGAGTGCGAAAATTACCTCGTTTGCAATGATTTTGTTTCCACGTGATGTACTTTTCTGTTAACCTGAGTTCCAATAGGTTCTGAAGACTTGCTGAGCCGTTCATACTCTCTATTTGGTACATAGTAGATATCTTTATCACCTATTTCTTCAACTAACCGGAGCGCAAAGCAGTAATGTCTCTATAGGTCCCTGTGATATGCCAGGTTTACCCGCTAAATTTTGTTCGCTAGAGGTACAGAAGGAGTGCTTTATTTGTCTTCGAGGATCGTCGTGAAGAAATGTCACCACTGGGTTGCTGGTGTTTCTAGTCTGCTCTTCACATAATGAGAGATCCACTCTCTCATGGCTGATGTCGACCTTTGCTCTTAAGATGTATGGCGTGTGAGGCTCACCTAGTTGTCCACATCCTGGGTTTTATTGCAGCGATATAGTTTTGTCCTTCGACGTAAAATGGTACTTCGGTTTCGCTGTCTTATTTGAATGATACGGAATGGTCACATCATCATCCCCTCAAATGCGCATTTGAACGCTATACGCTTGTCAAGAAATAACATGGCGAATGTCACAAACGAGAATCGTTGGGCGACATATCCGCCATGTCTGATATATCATGAATACTGAGTGGAATCGGAGTAGAGGTCGTAGTTGGTTCCTTCTATCGCTTTTCTAGAATCAGTGAGTGCTCTGTTTAGACGTCGAAAAGCTATCTTATTGGGTGGGATTGCCGGTCGGAATTCCAGTAATCGGTTAGACAAGTGATAAAATTCCGTTATACAACGGACCTTGGTTTCGCTCTTTTTGTGAAAACAAAGAGATTTTCGCGCGGTGGTGTTAGCTCGGTCGCATATAAGAACAGAGGGAAAAAAATTAGATTGGGTAAAACATGTCACTCTTGTAATAGTTCCCAGGATCGATTTTATCTTAACCTCGGCATTGGAATATGAATGTGTCGTTTTCTTGTTCAGCAATCGCGAGGTTTTTAAACAGCATACGTTTACTTCCATAGAAAAACACAATACAATACAACCCTAGCTGACGTTTCGGCAGTATCGCCTTCTTCAGAGCCTGGAAGGGTATGCTGATATACAATCTACTAGGCCAAACGCTTCAGTAACACTTGCAAAAAGACGAAAAACTTATTGGTAATTACATAATCAACAACTTCTCGAAAAACCCACCGCTTTTTCGTGACTTCCAATGAGGAAGTTTAGAACAGCTGATTGTAGCCGCATGTGGTTGACGACTGCACCATCCCACATCAAAAATCGATGCGAACGTACGGGATCAGGTCGCGTATGACCTCCGGGCATTCGTCCCTGCTATTCATTGTAGGAATTTTGGCATTGATCCAAAAAGCCTCAAGGAGTTTTCGCGCTGGTGTTTTGGACTCCTGTGCAAGGATATTGACTTTTACTTCAAAATCGTTTCCGCTATGCTTTTGTATCCTATGCGTGCCTAGTGGGGTGCTTCGTCTTAGTTTTCGTTTGCCATCTAGGTGATCTTTTACACGGATACACAAAGGTCTGCCCGTTTCGCCAATATATTCATCTCTGCAATCATTACAAAAGATCAGGTATATCGTACCTGAACTCATGCAATCACCGTCCCTGCCGTAAGGGCAAATTACGCAATTTGTTGTTTCACACAGACGGTCATACAGGCGGTTACGAACTAAATGACGACGTAGAGTAGTCGGTGGTATTTCAACTATCGCTACCGATTCCTCTAGACTTGCCCTTCTTAAGCATCGTTTTATAGCTGCGCTTACTTCATCGCTTATAAAAGGCAACATAAACGGGATTTTGTTTTGGCCAAGTGTTTCGCGTGGGCGCGTCGTTCTCCTTCTAAACTTATTTCGTGGGGTTACTATTTCGTAGCCATTGGAGATGGCTATTTGCCGGGCCAAGTCGCGCGATTCTTCCTTTAGTTCCCTAGTAGTGCACACAGAGGTGGCTGTTCGAAGCATATTTCTCACAATCGCCCTCTTTGTGTGTGAAGGGTGGGAAGAAAGGAAATGAACAAGGATGTTCTTGTTACTTGGCTTTCGGTACCACTTTGTCAGGTAACCGCTACTTGATAGGTTTATTTGAACGTTCAAAAACCTGTCCATCCAGCAGCTAATGGCTCTTTTAAAGGAGTGCCTACACTGTTCGATTTTCAGATGGTCTGGGAAATATTTCGCGCAAATAAGGTGGTTGGCATTGGGACAGCGATTGGCACCAAGCCTTGCCATTGTGTTTATGTCAAAGATAGAAGCCCCTGTTCTCGATCTCCGGCCACTACTCTACTGCAGATATGTAGATGACTGTTTTGCCGTCTTCTACACGCAGGAAGAGATGGACAAATGCTTTGAATTATTGAACGAGCAATCCGAGTACATAAAGTTAACCCGGGAGAAACCAAGAGAAAAAGACTGGCTTCCGTTTTTGAACGTCCAAATAAACCTATCAAGTAGCGGTTACCTGACAAAGTGGTACCGAAAGCCAAGTAACAAAAACAACCTCGTTCATTTGCTTTCTTCCCACCCTTCACACACTAAGAGGGCGCTTGTGAGAAATATGCTTCGAACAGCCACCTCTGTGTGCACTACCAGGGAACTAAAGGAAGAATCGCGCGACTTGGCTCGGCAAATAGCCACCTCCAATGGCTACAAAACCCCACGAGATATGTTTAGCAGGAGAGCAACGCGTCCACGCGAAACACTTGGCCAAAAGAAAGTCCCGTTTATGTTGCCTTTTATAAGCGATGAAGTAAGCGTAGCTATAAAACGATGCTTAAGAAGGGCAGGTCTAGAGGAATCGGTAGCGATAGTTGAAATACCACCGACTACTCTACGTCGTCATTTAGTTCGTAACCGCCTGTATGACCGTCTGTGTGAAACAACAAATTGCGTAATTTGCCCTTACGGCAGGGACGGTGATCGCATGAGTTCAGGTACGACATACCTGATCTCTTGTAAAAATTGCGGAGATGAATATATTGGCGAAACGGGCAAACTTTTATGTATCCACCTACAACACATGGCAAACAGCTACACACCTACATGGCAAACGAAAACTAAGACGAAGCACCCCACTAGGCACACAAAGGATACAAAAGCACAGCGGAGACGATTTTGAAGTAAAAGTCAATATCCTTGCACAGGAGTCCAAAACACCAGCGCGAAAACTCCTTGAGGCTTTTTGGATCAATGCCAAAATTCCTACAATGAATAGCAGGGACGAATGCCCGGAGGTCATACGCGACCTGATCCCGTACGTTCGCATCGATTTTTGATGTGGGATGGTGCAGTCGTCAACCACATGCGACTATAATCAGCTGTTCTAAACTTCCTCATTGGAAGTCACGAAAAAGCGGTGGGTTTTTCGAGAAGTTGTTGATTATGTAATTACCAATAAGTTTTTCGTCTTTTTGTAAGTGTTATTGAAGCGTTTGGCCTAGTAGATTGTATATCAGCATACCCTTCCAGGCTCTGAAGAAGGCGATACTGCCGAAACGTCAGCTAGCGTTGTATTGTATTGTGTTTTTCTATGGAAGTAAATGTATGCTGTTTAAAAATCTCGCGATTGCTGAACAAGAAAACGACACATGTCACTCTCTTCATTCAACTGTCAAGTCCTCATTGTGGCACTTTATACTGGAAGATATCCGTGTCCAAAGAGGAAGTCTTTTCGAATTCGAGTTATTATGAGTGAACTTGTTCGACATCGTAAGCTTGAATGGCCTCACATCGTCTTTCTTCAAATCTTCTTCTTGGGTCACTCTATGGATGTCCTCAGAAATCCAATCTTTTCTCGCACCACTCTCGGTTATGGAGACGCTCTTGCTGATCATCTATTTAGATGTGACATTATCGTCTTGAACTTTTTCAAGTATGTGTAAAATGTCTCCATACATGAGGTTCATATTGAAAACTGGGTCTTTTCCTATGAGGTTGGAAAAATGGGAATCTTTTTTGAAAAACGCCATAGGTCGCTCTGCTTTCGCGAAACAGATATGGCTTTTATTTGCTGGAGCGGATTCCAAATCAATGGTTGACCCAACCATTGATTTCTATCATTCGGCGCTATTGATTTACAGGATACAATTTGCATACACGCGACCTCATCGACGATCATAGATAAAAACATCTGTGTAAATATGGAAGGAATTAGTTAATACATCGTGGCGGAGACAAAAATTCCACCAGCTGAATCCATTTGCGTCTAGGTGCAAGTGCAAGTAGCCGTTGTTCGAGTTTACCTCCCAATCCACCACTGACTGGTGAACGAGACAGGTTTCCTGGCGACTAACTGTGAGGAGATCTTTCACCGGTTCATGGGGTATGCTAACAAAGTAGGAAAAGGGTTTTCGTGTTGACTAAAGTGGTGTAGGAAGGGAAGGTACACAGTAGAACAGAAAGCATATATGTTTTATTGCTAAAACTATGCAAGTGTGATAAGGGTGTAAGAAAAGAATGTGGCACATTAAGGGCAGTGCATAGGGGTTCTTCTCAACTTGGTAAATGTTATTGTACCATCGGACGTCGAAAGCTTCTGTAGTCACAAATAGGCAGTGCATTGAATTTATTCAAAGTTTTAGTTAGGCGTACGTACATCATAATGAGTTCCAGGTGTTGCATGCGATTGCGCACATGCATGTACATTTGAAGAAGATAAGGAGGGTGCGATCATACCAAAGTGTTACTGTCACACTGGATTTGTACTTGGCGAAGATCAAAAGTCCTGTGTACCCTCTGCAGATACCCCGACATCATACACAATCGTTAGAGTACGTTGGCAAAATTTCGCTTACTTCTCAAAGAGATCGTTTGATCGTTTTATTGTTGAATGAGTTATGTGAAAGTTCGTAAATTCTAAATGCTGCAGCATTGCAGGTCACACCTCCATCATTCACAACTGATGTCCAACCCGAAGAAATATCACTAACAACTTCCAAAACATTCATCGACGACGAAACTAGTGCTGGAGGATTAGTAGGACCAGATGCGTCTCCATTGCCGACAACAGCAGATGGTACGGTTCTTATGGTGAAAGAACCGAAATCAACCGTTCGTCCGACAGACTCCAGTGGTCGCGAGCTACCTTTAGTTGTCGGGCCAGATGGAATTCCACTGGATATAAATGCTGAGGGACAAATTGTTGATATGAATCAAAATCCGATTATAATAGACGATGAAGGTGCTCCCCTAGATCCCTTTGGTAATCGCCTACCTCAAAATAAACAAGGAGTATGGATTTACCCTTTGATCGATAAAAGTGGAAATCCCTTACCGGTTGACGAAAACAATATGCCGATAATAAGTATAATTGACACGCACGGTAGAGAGATTCCTGTCGGTGAAGACGGTAATATTGTTGATTCAAATGGTCGTATAATAAAAACGGACGCCATTGGCAGACCATTAGATAAGAATGGTCAACCGTATCCAATAAATGAAGATGGGTTCTTCGTCGTTGGGCCGATTGAGGAAACAGTACGCGAAGAATCACAAGGAAAACCTCATATGCCTTTACTCACAGTTGATGGTGAACCAATTCCAACGGATACATCTGGAAACTATGTTACTACTGACGGTACGATTGTGGAAAAGGATGGTAAAGGAAGACCTTTAGGTCCAGATGGACATGTGCTCCCAACAGACGCAACAGGAAACTACATTTATCCAGCTTTAGGATCAGACCGACGTCTGCTGCCGACCGACATTAACAGACGGCCTATTCATCCGATATTAGGACCTGATGGATCTCCTCTTCCTACAGACAAATCAGGCCGTCCTCTTGGCAAAAACGGCGAACCAATTCCAACAAATGCTGCTGGTACGCCACTGGATAACCAAGGGGAACCATTGCCAACTGACAGTAATGGTAATTTTGTTACTATTCGCGAAGAGTTACCAACGGATGAGAGTGGACATATTATCTATCCTGTGACGAGGCCTGATGGCTCGCCACTTCCTACGGATGCATCCGGAAGCTTTATCACTGACGAAGGAACGATTGTTGAGAAAGACGACGAAGGTAGACCAATAGGACCAGATGGACATGTGTTGCCAACGGATGAGAGAGGGAACTACATTTATCCTGTGATTGGGCCTAACGGTAGTCCTCTTCCAACGGACATCCACAAACGTCCAATCTATCCAGTTGTTGGAAAAAGCGGCAGTCCTTTGCCTACAGATGTATATGGAGCTTATATCGACGCCGACGGCCGACCTATTCCAACAGATACGAGTGGGAAACCAGTTGGTCAAGATGGTTCACCACTTCCAACCGATCACTCCGGCAATTATATAACAGGTCCATTTGAAAAAACTATGACTAAAATGCTACCAACTGATGAAAGTGGTAACTTGATTTATCCCGTCACCAAACCAGGTGGATCACCACTTCCTACGGATGCATCGGGAAACTTTGTGACCGATGAAGGAATCATTGTTGGAAAGGACGAAGAAGGTAGACCACTTGGTCCAGATGGACAAGTTTTGCCAACAGATGAGATCGGAAATTACATTTATCCGGCTGTAGGACCAGACGGACGTCCTCTACCAACCGACATTTACAGACGGCCTATTCACCCAGTATTAGGACCTGATGGATCTCCTCTTCCTACAGACGAATCAAGCCGCCCTCTTAGCGATGACGGCGAACCCATTCCAACAGACGCTGCTGGCACTCCACTAGATAATCAAGGACGCCCGCTGCCAACTGACAATAGTGGTAATTTTATTGCCATTGGCAGGGAAGAGGGTGTTAGCAAAGAATTACCGACAGATGTGAGTGGAAATACTATCTATCCTGTGACGAGACCTGATGGGTCACCACTTCCTACTGACATATCAGGGAACTCCGTTACTGACGAAGGAAGGGTTATTGAGAGGGACGACGAAGGCAGACCATTAGGTCCCGATGGACAAGTTTTGCCAACAGATGAAACCGGGAACTACATTTATCCAATTGTAGGACCTGACGGACGTCCTCTGCCGACCGACATTTACAGACGGCCTATTCATCCGGTATTAGGACGTGATGGATCTTCTCTTCCTACGGACGAATCGGGACATCCTCTTAGTGGTGACGGCGAACCCATTCCAACGAATGCTGCTGGTACGCCATTGGATAGCCAAGGACAGCCGCTGCCAACTGATAGTAGCGGTAATTATATCATTACTCTCGAAGAAGAAGGTGTTAGCAAACAGCTCCCCACAGATGAGAGCGGAAATGTTATTTATCCCGTTACCAGGCCTGATGGATCATTGCTTCCCACGGATGCCTCTGGAAACTTCCTTACTGATGAAGGGATGCTTGTTGATAGAGATGAAGAAGGACGACCATTAGGCTCAGATGGACAAGTGCTGCCAACAGATGAAGTAGGAAACTATATTTATCCTGCGATTGGACCTGACGGTAGTCCTCTTCCAACGGACTTCCACAAACGTCCAATATATCCAGTTGTTGGAAAAGATGGTAGCCCTTTGCCTACAGATGGATCTGGAGCTTACATTGACTCTGATGGGCGACCTATTCCAACCGATGCAAGTGGGAAACCGGTTGGTCAGGATGGATCACCACTTCCAACTGATGCTTTCGGCAATTATGTAGGTGGTCCACTTGAGAAAACCATTATTGAAGCACCACCAACTGACTATAGTGGTAACGTGGTCTATCCTGTCACCAAACCAGATGGATCACCACTTCCCACGGATGCGTCGGGAAACTTTCTTACTGACGAAGGAACTATTGTTGAAAAAGACGATGAAGGTAGACCACTAGGTCCAGATGGACAAGTGTTGCCAACAGATGGCGCAGGAAATTACATTTATTCAACTGGAGCGGATTTGAGCCTTTCTACCACTGGCTTTACACTTCACCCATATCCCGGAGGAGAGGTTCTTGTATTTACTTCGGAAGCACTGCATTGCTCTCCGGGCGATCTTCCAACTGAAACTCTTCTCTTTATTGTTGAAAGTTCTCATAAAAGTGGTCCATATCTGCAGGCAATCAAAGCACTTTTAAAGTCATTCGTTCAATCTCTTCCAAAGAAAGGCATGCCGAAAATAGGCAAATTGATCTATGCGGCAACGACTGAGGTCACTATTGACATTGGACACTACAGAAATAAAGAAGAACTCATTACTTCATTTGACGAAATCAGAGAGATAGGTGGTTCGCCTGATGCTGATCTCGCTCTAAATATAGCTTTACAACTATTGTTAGAAGAAGAAAGAGGACCAGCTGTTGTTCTACATTTTCACTTAACACCCTTAAGGTTAGCCTTCTTTCCTACTATTTCTTCATGTCTTTTACTCCAAGCTCGTTTTCAAGCGTGTCGTTTTTAAGACAAAATCAGTTTTCTGTCCTTGTTTGCTCCAGTGTTCTTCTTCAGTCTGAAGGACAGTACTCTAATTGGTCGAATGCTACAAAAGAATATTAAGTTAGTCAATCTTGATGAAAAAGATTGGTTTGCGAAGGACCACAATGGATTGAGGAAATTCGTCTGCATTAATGATACAGGTAAAGTTCATTTAAATATCGTTCCTTGATAGATGAGGTTATGTTTAATGTACTTCGATTTTGAACTTTCCTTGTGTATTTTATTGTACTTATGCAGCTTATTTTTTTAATACAATGTACCGTACTTTTCATAGATAACGCTACTTTTTAAGTACTTGTCTTGGCTCGGGTTTTTAGCATAAAATGATCAATTCCTAATTAAGTGGATAGCAGCTCAGTGTTGCAAGTTGAGTAAAATGTAAATCTGCCTCAAGAAAATAATTTTTGCCATGCGGAATCTACCGCGCATTGATTCCAATGCTCATGCGCCGAAATAGCTGAGTTTTCTATTTTTAAACCGGCATATTTTATTTCACAGTGGTCTCTATGACGTTAATTTTATTGCGAGATACGGGTCTTCTTGAACACCAGTGTGAAATTCTAATTTTTAGGGCCTATAAAACCTTTTTTTGTTACGTTTTTTCATCAAGGACTGAAGCGCCCAAACAAGCAAGTGGCAAATCCCATCCATTTTATACACTTTTGAATTTGACCAGACATTTTACAGTAGTTTATTATATTCTTGTTTAGCAAGCACGAGTTGTTATTTTGTTCCTTTATTTACGCACAAACTGACGTTTCGGCGGATTTCACGCCCTTCAGAACCCGAAAGGGTCAAACTAACTGAAATTTACCCGGTCAAACACTTTTGTAACCAAACCAGAGAAAACAGGAAACAAAAATTTCAATCGCATTGAAAATAAAATAGCTTCTTTGCACACTCTCCTCTTTCTATGGGCCTTCCACTGAGTACTTTTACGTGAAGAACAGTGGCGCAGAATTCGCATGGAAGTGTAGTGTCTCCCACATTAAAATATCACTCTTAAATACTGTGTGAGACCATACGTTATAGCGAGACATTCCTCCTTGCAGTTCATTTTCGGATTCTTGGGATGTATTCGGAATGCCTCGAAAATTTTGCTCGCCGAAGTTTTCGATTCCTGTACGAGGGTGGTAACTTCTACTTCAAAATCCTCTCCCGTTATGCCTCTGTCCTATGCGCCCCTAGTAGAATATTTGCTTTAGATTCAAGTTTACCTACTAGGTGATCTTTTATACGGACGCAGAGTGGACCTGTTTCACCAATGCATTCGTCCCGTACGCTTTATAAGAGATCAGTAAAACCGTTCCCTAACTCGTACAGTCATACCTTCTCTACCGTTAGGGCAAATGATGCAATTTTGCTTTGTGCATAGACGATCATACAAGCATTTGCGAAGTAGCTGGTGTGCTCGGTGGTATTTCAATAGCTGTTATGGAATTATCTCGAACGGCACTGCTTAAGCAACGTTTTATAAAACTTATTTTGCACTTATTTTGTTCGAAATGAAAGACAGGATAAACCAACCTTATTATTGCTAAAACCTTATTATTAAATTCAGTGTTCTCCAGTTGATCATTCAGCAGGTCGAAACATTTGCTCACTTCTTCTTGTGACGAGCAAATGATAAAGCAGACATCTATATATCTCCACTAGAGTAATGGCCGGAAATTTGTGACTGGTATTTATGCCTTGGGTATAAATGCAATGGCAAGGCTTGGTGCTAGTCGCCGCCTCAATGCCAACACCCTTACTTAGGCGTAGTATTTTCCGGACCATCTGAAGATTAAGCAGATTGGGCACTCCTTTGAGAGGGTCATCAACTGCTTAATCGTAAAGCCAAACAACTTTATTGCTCCTTCATGTTTTAAGAAGATCGAAAAGACAAGGGATCTTTTCTCCCTTATCCTCGGGAGTAGTAGAGACGAAAACTCACAAACTGCAATTCTAGCAATAATAAGGTTCCGTTTATCCCGCCCTTCATGCCCAACGAAATAAGTGACCTATAAAAAGGTTGCTTAGGAAGGACCGTTCTAGAGAATTTGGTAGCAGTGATTTAAATACCACCGGGCGCTCTAAGATATGAGATAGTTCGCAATTGCATGCGTAACCCCGTCTACGTAGGATGCAAAATTGCATAATATGCCATAATGACAGAGACGCTGAGTCATGAGTTCGAATATGATTCATTCCATCTCCTGTAAAGCGTGCGGGGATGAATACTTTGGCGAAAGAGGCTAACTCTACAGCAGTATAAAGGATCACCTAGTAGCTAAACTTGGCGCTAAGGCAAATACTCTATTTGGCCCGCATAGGACCACGACATAACAAGGAGGATTTTGAAGCAGAAGTTACCATTGTCGCACAGGAATCGAAACCCTCTGCGACCAAAACTCTTGAGGCATTCCGGATAAATTCCAGGAATCCGAAAATTAACCACAAGGAAGAAGGTGTCGCTGTCACGCATGGTCTCACACAGTATTAAGCACTAATGTTTTAATGTGAGAGATACACTACGCTTCCGTGTGAACTCTGTATAGTTGGTTTCCATGTGAAATACTCAGGGGAAGACTCTTAAAAAAGCCGTGATTACGTGAAGAAGCTATTTAATTTTCAATTGGATTGAAATTTTGGCTTACTGTTTCTTCTGTTTGGTTATGAAGGTGTTTGCTCCGGTATGTTGCAGTCAATTTCATCTCTTAATGCTCTGAAGAAGGCGAAATCCACCGAAACTTCAGCACCGCCGTAATAAGGAATAAGGCAGCTCTTCAGTTCGCTCAACAGGAAGATCATTGTCATCTGTATCACCTGTAGTACCGTTGATCGTCGAGTGACTCAAGAGGGCGCCAGTAAATCTTCCATTTTCCCTGTCGCGTTCAAGAGTAGCCCAGTAGCTTCTGCTCGCTCCAGGGACTCGTCAAGCATCATGTCTTTCTTCTGGGCTCTTCGTGTAGAACTATGACCATCGGGTCGGTGGTCTTCATGCAGTACGTTTGACATCCCGAGGGAATCCAGTCACTAACGGCTCTTGTCCATCGGTTGTCATTCATATGCATTACGTGTCTGGCATACCTTATCTTCGACTGTTTGGCGTACAGAACGACATCTTTGATTTTTGGCCGTTGACGCAGTCGGAGCTTCAGATCCCTCCAATTACTTGTGAAACACGGGTTACTCCTAGCATCGTCGTTTCGACTGTGCGCTCAATAACGCTAAGTGACTTTTCATCCTGCTTACGCAGTGAACAGGTTTCTGACGCATAAGGTAAGGCAGGAAGTACCGTGGAGTCGAAAAGGTGGGTACGGAGTCGGGTGTTCTTTGGTCTTTTCACTACATTCTCGATGCTCTTGAAAGCTCCCCAAGCCGCTCGTTTCTTTCTGCTCAACTCTGGAGCTAAGTCGTTCAGTATGTTGATTTCCCGACCTATGTAGACATAACTGAAGCACTCGGAGATATTCGTTCCGTTGAGTGTGAATGGGGTATAAGTAACCAACCCGTTCTTCATAAACTTCGTTTTGTGAGATTCACTCGAAGACCGATTTTTCCACAGGCTTCATCAACGTCGGCAAGAATTCGTTCCCGTCGGTTAATGTTTGATGTTATAAGAACGATGTCGTCAGCAAAGTGAAGTTGGTGTGATTGCCGACTGTCGATTTTCACTCTTATGTTGTTTCATTCCAATGTTCGCATACCTTTCTTGAGGATGGCGGTGAATAATTCTTGCGAAATGGTATCGCCTTGCCTAGCCCCTCTTTTCACCTTGATATTAACATCGTTGTGGAATGATGCTATCCTGATTGCGAAATCTCTGTATGGCTCACGACGAATCTTTATATACTGAATAAGGGACACTCCGACTGTCCAGGGCTTCCATGACTGCTTCTATCTCAATTGAATCAAAAACCTTTAAATCAGTGAAAGTGAGGCGAAGCGGGCTTTTGTTTTCTCGCGATACTTCGATGAGTTTTGTTGTCATGTGGATGTGGTCTACCGTACTGAATCCTTTTCGAAACCATGCTTGTGCACATGGCTGCCCTTCGTCCAGTGTTCTGTCAATCCTGTTTAGTGAAAACTCGAGTGAAAACTTCGTAGACGGCAGATAGCAAGCAGATTAGGTGACAATTGCCAATATGGTATAACTCACTCTTTGCTAACAACAGCACAGTGTTGCTGCTCTTGAGTAGGGAGCTCGCATTCAGACAGGTAATGTGTGAAGAGCTGAGCTAGTGTGTTTATGAGGACTGGCGGAAGATTTTTCAGGTGCTCAAATCTTATCCTATGCGGACATGGTGCTGTTCGATTTTTCACCGACGAAATGACATGTCGGATTTCGGAAGGGAGAACCAGTGGTACAACATATCCATCCTCCTTTATTTCATACGACGGAGGGTGAACACGGCTATCGAAGAGATCTGAGTTGTATTCGTGATTGATTTTCTCCATTGCCTTATTGAACGCTGTAACTGTTCCGTCTGAGCGTCGGAGTGCAATCATCTTGGTTTTATAGTTGGCGAAGCTTCGGTGGGCTTAGCGAATGCTTTTCCCAGTCTATGCAGTTTCGACCATAGCTGTTGCTGTTCTCTCTTTAAGATCTTCTTTTATCGCCTGTCTGCATTGTTTTGCAAGTCCGGGTGTTAGTTAGCGGTTGTCTGCAGCTCGTGCGATTCCACGCTGGCGTATCGACTAGAGTGTTTCTGAGGACGGAGGTTTCTTGGTGACTTCCGAACTCTCAGCTTTCAAAGCGCTAGCATGAAGATGTTGAATGTGCGATCGTATTTTTCGTCTGTGTTGTCGAGAACGGCATCTTCCCAACATCCAACTAGTGAATTTAATAAGTCCCAGCTTATAGTGGTTTTGGGACTTCGTTTTTTGAATTTAGTGGGTTGTTCTCCTTTTCGGTGGAAGTGAAGTCTTGCACCAAGGAGCAGCGCTCTGATGCAGTGCAGAATTCTGGGACAACAGTGACATCGGACAGGCAAACTTTCGATTTACCCCTGTGAGTTGTATTTCGTTATGGTATCCTTCATTGAAGGACTTCCACGTCCAGCGTTGGTGCTGAGACTTCTGGAATTGCGAGCTACCATGGATGGCCTTGGTCGTCATGATAAACTCAGACAGCCGCCCAGCCAGCTCGTTCCATTCTTATCTGTGGGTTCCATTGTGACTTTCTTCAGAAGTTCTTTAAGGATTAGTCTCATCGTTAAAATCTTCATTGATAACCGTAGAGAATGGTCTTCTCTCTAGAAGTTCTCCAGGTTTATATAGAACACTTCGGCTTCTTCTTCGTCATAGCTTGATGTCGGCACGTAAACGACGACGACTGTCAAAGGCGGTATTGATCCACATCTCTTCAATCGTAGACGTCCGATTCGGGTTGTGAGTTGTTCGAAAAAATCGATGTTCATGGCCAAACTTGTGTTACAAGAATACCGACACCGCCGACGCCTCTTTTTTTGCATATTCTGATGAACAGTTCTTCTCTCGTATCACAGACGGCTTTGATTGGGTGTCGTCTTCTCGCCTCGGTCAGTCTGACGTCGTGTCTTATCATCCTAGCTTCCTTGATCAAGTTTTCTATCGAAGACTCAGATGCAAATGACGTGCCCTGTAGGTGCAAGTCGTTACCATAATTCTTTGCGATTTAAGCAGCCTAAAATTAGAATGGCCCTGAGGTTTTAGCAGCCTCTTCGTGCTCGTCCTACCTAACGCTGCCGAACTGATGGCTTTTTCGAGGTCAAGGGAATGAGGTAGTTTTCTTTTACTGTGTATAGCGTTTTGATGCCCACATATAGCTTGCTGATGTTTGAACGTGGAGGCTGGGTATACTCACAGGTAGCTTGTCAGTCTCTCCCAGAATGGACTTGGAACTTATTTGTTGGAGACGACTCCTAACCACCACATATACTTCCTTGTCACTTGATTGCAGGCTTTTGGCCAAATTTACTCGTAGAATACAATTCGCATAAACGAGAACACACACACACACGCATGCATGAGTACGCCTTGTAAATACAGAAAGTATGTGCCAAATCAGTGCAGCATAAATACGGAGTCCATCTCCTGGATCCACCTGCGTAGGGAAACCAAAAGTCGTTTTTATTTCGTGATTAACCCCTGTTCGCTACCTGCGGACGCGCCACATAGCCTCGCGACAAACCGGCTCGGGATCCCTCGTATTAGGGACATACGTGGCAATAAGAAGGTAACGAATTAAAAAAACGAATTAGAAGGAACTATTATCAACGGGCAGTGAGTGTCATCAACAACCGTTCTGTACAAAACAGTGCTGGGGGATGAGGTTACCTCATTGAAGCGGTGCAGCACTGAAAAACATTCGACTTGATACAAACACGAAGACACCACATAGAAAAGACGAACGGGTGTGGACATCGACTCGAATCATCGGCTCTGAGGAGGACGAAAACGTCGGAACGTTAGTCGAATAAAAGTTGAATAACAACTTCATTTAAGGGCAGCAGTCTCTAGAATCCTGTTGATTATTCATTTCGAGCTTAAGTGAAAATCGGTTTAGCAAACTAAAATATGTGTTTCTTCATCCTGCTCTATAAAATTAAGAAGAAGTGATATGTCCCATCAGTTCTCGCTTTTGAAATCTGACATGAAGAAACAAATAACAGTGGTTCAGAAGGGATAGAAGCCGAGCATCTGAAGAACATTCTGCCAGTCATGCATAAACCTGCCTCCACTGTGACTGGACGACAAGCAGGACGGCATTATTACGCAGGGATGGAAATCCGCATTACATCAGCAAGTTTCCTCAATCTGCTTGCTATTTGTCACCTATGAGCTGTTTGCCTCATTTTTCTCAACAAGATTTACAGAAAGCTGGCTGAAGGGCAGACATGCGAGTAAGCTGGATTTCGAAAAAGATTCATTACGATAGGTCACATTCGCACGACAGCGAGACTCACCGAAGTATCGCAAGAACATAAGAGGCTGCTGCATCTCATTTCTACTTACTTGATACTTGAACGGCCCGTCCTCAGTGGTTGCGCGGGTCCCAACATAATCACCATTTTTCTGAGATCTGTTGGGTAAGCCATTGTGGTTCCCTGGAACCCCGAGGTCGGCCTGGCCAACGTCTGCCTTAGGTCTTCACCACCACAGGCAGTCGCAGCCCATGTGGATCAGAGAAAGATTTGCCACCATACGATTTTGATACCAGGACGGTGGTGGACCTTGGTATTGGTTTACTCTTAGCTAAACTTTCTGATGGAAACGTCGGACTCCTTTTCAGCTTGGGAGACCCTGCTGGGAGGACGAATCTACCTGTTGTACATCGCAGTCTGACACCAAGGAGCACTTGGCAGCCACGATGAGGCGGCAAACCGTTGGGAGGCATCTCATTTTTACAAATATAAAAAAGGGTTTTGACACTGTTGAGACAGAAGCAGTCATGCGTGGCAAGGGCATCCCTACACAGTACACAAGGACTATTAGTGTCACTATTTTATAAAGATAAGAGTGCTTTTTACGTAGTGGGTGGAGGTTATCATCAATGTATACTTGATCGATCACGGTTCGATCCTGCAACATGTTTCAGTAAGCTCTCTATTTCTGCAGAGTTGACAGATCGGTACGAAATTAGTCTGGGAGAACAAAAGCACTGACTCGAGAGATTAGTAGGCGACCGTAAATAATTGTATAAACTTTACATTCTAACAGCTATACGATGCTCGATGAAGTCGAGTGTTTCGCATATCCCTCCGGGATAAATCAGCCCCCTCCAACGTTTTCTTTTGTGATTAATCCTTTATAGCGGCATTAACGTCGACGTTAAAAGAGGATTTAAATATGAAAATGTCATGTTGATAAGTTATTCACAGCCGCCCTCGAAAACTTATGCGAGAATAGGGATGGGACAATACGGGAGCGAACAATTACACCACCTTCGCTTTGCTGATGATATTTTTTTGTATAACAAAAAGCACTAGTTAGGCGAAACGAATGCTGATCGATTTCGACAACGCCCTGTAAAAATAATGGCCTTCGACTGAAAATCAAGAAAACGATGTCAGTGAGGAACACTTCTTTCTCGATGTCCCATCTTTGATTAACAGAACGAATATTTGCAAATGTTCCATTTCCGCGCCCCTGGATCATGAATTCAGCATAATGAGCGGCTTGGCTCTAGAGTTGAGCAGGAAGAAACAAGTGACTTCGGTCCTTTCATGAGCATCGAGGATATAGTGAGGATTCGCCTAACCTTTTGACTCTGCGATTCTACACGCCTCAACGTTCACGTAAACTATCGCTGCGTAAGAAGGAGGACAATTCTGGGAGTACCTCCATTTAATTGGAAGAGAATCTAAAGTGCACCGGTACGACGAGATATCAAAATCTAATTGGTTGAACAAGTGATGTGTCCTAGGAGTCATTAGTAACCAGATTTCACGGATGAATGTATACATTAATCGCACCATTCTTTACTCGTCGACCAGCTGGAGAACAGCTGACAGCTGAGAAGTGAAAAGCTTTTGGATCGAGCACTTCTTAGAATTGTTGCATGTTTGCCGAATAAGGAGCATAACAATACGCTCTCTCCAAGTTCTGATGAAGACGAATTCGCCGAACTTTTTTAGTCGCTGAAAGCCAAAATGCATGTTAACAACCTCATGTCACCACATCAAGGACGTTTTGTGAGAACAAAGTAGTATCTTTCAAAAAATTTTTTTCCATTCTGTGGAATCCTCATAGACAAATTCTAAGTGGCTTCGTTTCTGGATTCTTCTAGAAATAGATTTCATACCGCATTAATACAATTTGCAGCAAAGTGCTCCAAAGTGATAAAAATCGTAATGGGATCAATACGGTTGGATAGACATGCCCTTCTTCATTCCATTTACTTCAGAATGGCTAACTATTCTACATTACCCATTGTTTTTTTTTCGAACGATCTTCTTTCACATCTACTGTGCGGTTTCCAACACTTATTGCCTAGAGTTCGTTTTCTCGCATCCATCACCGCGAAAATTTTCGAATTTTTGCTTGTGGGTTCAGCTGCTAGTTGAGAGTATTCCTCTCGCCATGAATGCCGTTTAATGCTGGTCGAGTCGACTCTTCCTGGAGTCTTGAGATAACTAGGCTAAAGCGTTTTCACTTGGATTACAGAAAGTGAACCATTCCTGGATAAGTTTAGCACCAATAAACTTTGATTCCAACTTTCACGACTTCTTCCTTTCACAACATATAACATGCTTTGATCAATGGAATTTCCAGTATTGAAAAATAATCACCGATTTTTCAGAAAGGATCCCTCAAGTGACAACCTTCGACTCATCACCGCTTCCAACTGATAAGTTTGGAAACTTCGTAACTGACGATGGAACCGTTATCGAGACGGACGACGAAGGCAAACCATTAGGGCCAGATGGACAAGTGCTTCCAACGGATGAAACAGGAAATTACATTTATCCCGTGATTGGCCCTGATGGTATTCCGCTTCCAACGGACACCCACCGACGTCCAATATATCCAGTCGTTGGAAGAGACGGCAGTCCTTTGCCTACAGATGAATTTGGCGCTTACATTGACACCGACGGGCGACCTATTCCAACCGATACAAGTGGAAAACCGGTTGGCCAGGATGGATCACCTCTTCCCAAAGACGTTTCCGGCAAATATACAATAGATTCGTTCGAGGAAACTGTCACGAAAGTACCACCAACAGATGAAAGCGGTAAAGTGATTTACCCGGTCACCAAGTCTGATGGCTCACTGCTTCCAACGGATTCGTCTGGGAACTTTATTACTCATGATGGAACCATTATAGAAAAGGACGAAGAAGGCAGACCATTAGGACCAGATGGACATGTGTTGCCAACAGATAAAAGTGGAAATTACATTTATCCAGCTTTAGGATCAGACGGACGTCCTCTACCGACAGACATTTATAGACGACCTATTCACCCAGTATTAAGACCTGACGGATCTCCTCTTCCTACAGACGAATCAGGTCGCCCTCTTGGCGATGACGGGAGAGCCATTCCAACAGACGCTGCTGGCACTCCACTAGATAATCAACGACGCCCGCTGCCAACTGACAATAGTGGTAATTTTATTGCCGTTGGCATGGAAGAGGACGTTAGCAAAGAGCTACCGACAGACGAGAGTGGAAATATTATCTATCCTGTGATGAGACCTGATGGATCACCACTTCCTACTGACATATCAGGAAACTTCGTCACTGAGGAAGGTAGAATTATTGAAAAAGACGACGAAGGCAAACCATTAGGGCCAGATGGACAAGTACTGCCTACAGATGAAATCGGAAACTATATTTATCCCGTAATTGGACCTGATGGTAGCCCGCTTCCAACGGATATTCACAAACGCCCTATCTATCCAGTTGTTGGGAAAGACGGCCGTCCATTGCCTACAGATCTATCTGGTTCCTATGTCGAGGCAGATGGAAAAATTATTCCAACCGATGCGAGTGGGAAGCCGCTCGGAACAGATGGATTGCCACTTCCAACAGAGGCTTCCGGATATTTTGTAGCAGGTCCGTTTGAGGAGCCTATCACTAGGGTGCTACCAACTGATGAGGATGGTGCCGTGATCTATCCTGTTACCAAACCTGATGGTTCTCTGCTTTCCACCGACACATCTGGAAACTATGTTACGGATGAAGGAACCATTGTTGAAAAAGACGAGGAAGGGAGACCAATTGGACCTGACGGACATGTGTTGCCAACAGATAAGACAGGAAATTACATTTATCCCGTTCTTGGCCCTGACGGTAGCCCTCTTCCAACGGATATTCATGGACGACCTATTCACCACGTATTAGGATCTAATGGATCTCCTCTTCCTACAGACGAATCAGGCCGTCCCTTTGGCAAGGACGGCGAACCCATTCCAACAGACGCTTCTGGCATTCCATTAGATAATCGTGGACATCCGCTGCCAACGGATCATATCGGTCATTATGTCAGCATTCCTATAGAGGATGGCGTTATTAAAGAGTTGCCGACGGATGATAGTGGGCATATTATCTATCCTGTGGCGAAACCAGATGGTTCGCCATTCCCTACTGATATATCGGGAAACTTCGTCACCGATGAGGGTGCGATCATCGAGAAGGACGAAGAAGGTAGACCATTAGGTCCAGATGGACGAGTTTTGCACACAGATGAAGTCGGAAACTATGTTTATCCAGCTGTAGGACCAGACGAACGTCCTCTACCAACCGACATTTACAGACGGCCTATTCACCCAGCATTACGACCTGATGGATCTCCTCTTCCTACAGACGAATCGGGCCGTCCTCTCGGGGATGACGGGAAAGCCATTCCAACAGACGCTGCTGGCACTCCACTAGATAATCAAGGACGCCCGCTGCCAACTGACAATAGTGGTAATTTTATTGCCATTGGCAGGGAAGAGGGCGTTAGTAAAGAATTACCGACAGACGTGAGTGGAAATATTATCTATCCTGTGACGAAACCTGATGGGTCACCACTTCCTACTGACATATCAGGGAACTTCGTCACGGACGAAGGTAGAATTATTGAGAAAGACGACGAAGGCAAACCATTAGGGCCAGATGGACAAGTACTACCAACGGATGAAACAGGAAACTACATTTATCCTGCTATTGGAACTGACGGTAGCCCACTTCCAACGGACATTCACAAACGTCCAATATATCCAGTCGTTGCAAGAGACGGCAGTCCTCTCCCTACAGATGGATCTGGCGCGTACATTAACGCTGACGGGAGACTTATTCCAACCGATACAAGTGGAAAGCCGGTGGGCGAGGATGGATCACCACTTCCAACTGACGATTTCGGCAAATATGTAGCGGGTCCATTTGCAGAAACCGTCACTAAAATGCTGCCAACTGACGAAAGTGGTAACGTGATCTATCCTGTTACCAAACCAGATGGATCACCACTTCCTACGGATGCATCGGGAAACTTTGTGACCGATGAAGGAATCATTGTTGGAAAGGACGAAGAAGGTAGACCACTTGGTCCAGATGGACAAGTTTTGCCAACAGATGAAATCGGTAATTACATTTATCCGGCTGTAGGACCAGACGGACGTCCTCTACCAACCGACATTTACAGACGGCCTATTCACCCAGTATTAGGACCTGATGGATCTCCTCTTCCTACAGACAAATCAGGCCGCCCTCTTGGCGGTGATGGCGAACCCATTCCAACAGACCCTGCTGGCACTCCACTAGATAATCAACGACGCCCGCTGCCAACTGACAGTCGCGGTTATTATGTTTCACGTGGAGAAGGTGTAGATCGCAGCAGTACTGTCGCTTCGTGGCCTCCGAGTAGTACTAGAGGTAGATGCTCACCTAAAAATTTAAAAATGGACATCTTGTTCGCCATTTACACGCGAAATATGACGAACTTTGTGTTCGAAAACATACTGCGTGCAATAGCCCAGTTCGCCGATTATGTTGATTTATCCCCTGATGTAACACGTGTGGGGTTGATCTATGGCAGCGAAGATATTGTTGTCCCTCTCCCTCTTGGTGGATACCAGGAAAAAGAACACATGAGGGATAAAATTCGCGGCATTGTGTTATCGGATGTTCGCTCAATGAGAGAAGTTCCTTTGGATAGACCTGTGAAACAGCAGTTCTTCATGTTTCCACGGACTCATTCATTGAAAATCGCAATCGTTATTGGTCAGGAAATAATGAGGTGAGAGAAGAGGTTCCTTGTAAAGCTCTTGGTTTTTCCGTCAATTTTAATAAAAGAACTTCAAACTCGTAAATATCATAATAGTTACGAGCAGAAAGTATATTATTCCTAGAAAAAATGCGTTCTTCTTCACTTGTTCAAACCTTTTCATAGCATTTAAACAATGGCGTAAATAGCACATGACTCACGTGAAGGAGAGTCCTAGCTGGAACAGTCACGTGATCGTATGGAGGCCATCAATGCAACACCGCAACAGTATACGCTGTTATCTCGTTTGTACTTCTTACCATTATGAATTACACGAGCATTAAACCCGAAGTAACTGATCTGCCCTATTTAAGCCGACACTGTCGGATTTGTGCATTCTTCGCCAGGAGCTGTTCGGTTTTAGTGATTTTTCTCGATCTTATTGGCCAGTTTCTTCCTATTAACCGTCAATAATTGTTCTGCCTTCTAAGCGCAAATCTTTTGATGCTGATCGTCACTTAGCGTTTTGTTGTAGGTTTACACTCGTACCTTTCACAATATGGGAACCACTCTCATGATGACGTAGCTGTATCATAAAAGCATAACAGTGCAGATTAAAATTCGTCTTGTAACGGTGAAAGATAAGCAGATGACCAGTCTATCACTGTTATCACGTTTTCTTTACGACTCCTCACAGGTAGAGTAGCTGATTGCGACCAATCACAGGTGCAGCTGTATTGTCATGAATCACATACCCATTTGCTTGAGGTGTTTTATTCTTCGACAAGGCAACGATATTCTAAACAGTCATCCTTAAAGTGAAATTATTGTCACGTTAGTAGTCAATAACTAGTAGACAAGTACACAGGTAGGTTATTTCTACATTTACTATTAGTGATAGCATACGTAGGTACGTGGATGGCCTGCTTTCATGAGTATTGCAGGCCTCCGTATATATTTCTTTCGTGTCTTTCTCATCCAATCATCGTTCATTATCGTGATCCTTCAAATATGACGAGATCTCAAGGAAAATTCGGTAATCTATTACTTCTTTCCATCTTCGAATGGAGCTGATTGATGAACGCCACAAATACGTGGGTCATTCGTGTAGGTGGTAATCCTAGAGAAGACTTGAATCCTCTTACAATCCATTCTACTTTTCTTTCAAACATCCGTCATATGCTGTTCACATTATATGACCTTCTCATCTACTTTTCCCTGTGTAGTTCTCTGCTTCCCGAGAATAGGATAGGTTTCGAAAGTATGATCTGCTCATTCCAATTACATGTTGTGTGCGTTGGTTAAATTTTAAAAGGCTTCGTTCAAACGATCTGTAGATTTTGCGCAGTTTCCGAATTGAATTAACTATAAAAGCAAGTATCCGTTGTATAACAGAGCGCTGGAATAACCGATAAATCAGAATGGTGAGTGTGCAGTTTTGTGTCTGTTGGATGATCGGTGGCTTCTCTAAAAGGTCTAAAAGCGGCCTCTGGTATTTGTGTTCTTAGTTAAGGATAGCAGACAACTGAAGTTTTTGTGTTGGAGCAGTACGCTCTTTGATCGACGAGCATTGATAGTATTGTACTGGTTTCAACGACGTAATACGCTTTCTTCCCAGTCAGAAAAGGTGAGGACGTGTTTCAGATGGTAATGAAGACTAATTTCTATAAAGCTGAACCACGGTCAGGACATGGTATATGTAGCAGAGTCTTTTTACGAATCAAGCTAGCTCAGCTGGTTGGGTGACATCCAGAGTCGTTCATATGCTCAACAGGGTAGCCGTGAAGAGCTTGTACAGTGCATTTTCGGGAGACTGGGATAGTAACTACGAAGATCCCTTCAGTCACTATTCTTAGCAGAAAGACGACGCGCGAGGTCCTCCACTGCTCTGCGACATTTTTTTTTGAAATCGGTGTTGCATATGTGTTGTAACAAGCACATACATTTTCTAGCTTCCGTGTCGATGGAAGTCAGCTGTAATATTATACTGGAGCAGTTCTTACCTACACGCGTTCTATTTTAGCTCTTACCTTGAAGGCAAAACTTTTTTACGACTTTCTCCAGCGTGGTTTCCACTGTAGGAGACGACGACTATGGAACGGAAAAGATTTTTCTAGAAGCTCTTCGTAATCAGTTTCATATCTTGGGGTAAAGGGGTAGTTTAATCTTCCTTCATCGACGCTTTTAACGAAATATTGTATTCACAAAGACATCAACAGATCGATAACTCAAATACAAGGTTTATGTGATAGTGAAACGTTAACAAACGCTCATCTCGAAATGTTCCAGTTCCCGAAAAAGTTTGTAATTCTAGCACTAGTCATGGATAACACATTACATTGAAAAGTACACATGGTGATTGAAGATATGTTCATAAACCAATTCTTTTCAGATTCCCCGACGATCATGACGAATTTAAATACATCTTTATTACCACAGTCGATTCTGGTGATCACCGCACAGTAAAAGAAGATTTGAGCACGATAGATGGACACAAGATTTCACAGATAATAGAGAACTATTGCCAACACAGTTCACCGTTATCCACACTTCTCACAGACGCTTCTGGCACTTCTCTGAAACGTCCGCATGGAGAATCCGTTGTTCAAGTACTACCAACTGATGAAAGCGGCAACGTGATCTACCCTGTAATCAAGCCTGATGGTTCTCCACTTCCCACGGACATATCTGGAAACTTTGTTACTGACGAAGGAACCATTGTCGAAAAAGACGAGGAAGGCAGACCAATTGGACCTGACGGACATGTGTTGCCAACGGATGAGACAGGGAACTACATTTACCCCGTCATTGGACCTGACGGCAGCCCACTTCCAACCGACAGTCACAAACGCCCAATCTATCCAGTTGTTGGAAAAGATGGCAGCCCGTTACCCACACATGTATCCGGTGCCTATATTGACGAAGAGGGAAGAATCATTCCAACGGATGCAAGCGGAAAGCCACTTGGAGCGGATGGATCCCCGCTTCTTACCGACGCATCCGGCAATTTTGTAGCGAGTCCATATTCGGAAACTATTGGTAGGGTGCTACCAACTGATGAAAGCGGCAACGTGATCTACCCTGTAACTAAGCCTGATGGTTCTCCACTTCCAACGGACACATCTG